AGCAAAATGAGATTCAGTACCTGCTACCAGGTGTGCCCTGAACACATCCTTGTTGCTTCTCCTGTCCCTTCGTGGCTTGAGCCTGTCTGTCACGGCTGCCTCACGTGTCCGCGCCGCAAAGGAAAGAAGGGTGAGGGCGGGTGGGTGTTCTCCCCACGCTCCCCCATTGGTGAGGGGCTGAGAGACCAGGTCTCAGAGCCCTGCTTCTTGCTGCCTTCACCAGTCCGCTCTAGCCAGGAGCGTTGGGTGGGGAAGGAGGGACACACTCGGCAGCCAGACCTGGCACTGTTCCCCCAAGGACTGGGGAGAGGAGCCACGGGAGCAGCCCGAGCCACTGAGGGAAACAACACAATGCCACCAAGCGATTGTCTTTCTTGGTGTGGAAAAACACTTCCCTCATTCTCTTGACTCTCCAAGCCTCTGCCGTAAACTTCACTGACATACAAGAAGCCATCGAAAGGGAACCCCATCATCTTCTCCCCCCACATCCTCTGCCTGCCTTGCCTCGCAGCTGCTTTCCCTCCACTGAGTCAGAAGCATCTCCTTCCGCCGCCATGGCCAGCCCTTCCATTTCTGTTCTGTGATTCACCCTCTCCAGCACATTCCTTCTTCCCATCCTACTGGCTCCTGTTCGTGAGCAAATATGCCTCAAGAGACCCATTTTATATAGGTATATATAAAATGGGTTAAAGCCTCTGCCTTTGGCTCAGGTCATGATCTCGGGGTCCTGGGATCGACCCCCGCATCAGGCGCTCTGCTTGGCAGGGAGCCTGCTCCCTCCTCTCTCTCTGCCTGCCTCTCTGCCTACTTGTGATCTCTGTCAAATAAATAAATAAAATCTTTTTTTAAAAAAAGAGAGACCCATTTTATTTATTTATTTATTTATTTATTTATTTATTTATTTATTTTTAAAAGATTTTATTTATTTGACACAGGGAGAGCGGGAACACAAGCAGGGGGAGGGGGTGAGGGAGAAGCAGGCTTCCTGCTGAGCAGGGAGCCTGTTGCTGGGCTGGATCCCAGGATCCTGGGATCATGACCTGAGCCAAAGGCAGACGTCCAAGGATTAAACTACCCAGGTGCCCCAAGGCCCATCTAAAAAACAAACACCTGGCCCCTTGTTCCCTCCTGATACTCACCATTCAAAACCGGGTCTTTGCATAAGTTGCCAGGACTTCCTGACTGCCCTGCAGTGGCCTCCCAACCCACTCCAATCCAACCCATTTCCCATATACTGAACGCTCCACGTCACCAGAGAATGAGCGCCTCTAGCTGGCCTCCTCTTACCCACTGGCACCAGACACCTGAGCTTCCCTCCTTCTTAGAACATCTTTCGGTTGGTGTCTGTGACAGTGTGCTTTCCCAGCACCTACCTGTCACCTCTCTCTCTGTCTGTGCTGGCTCCTTTCTCTCTACTGGATTTCTAATTACTGGGACCTTCTTTTTTTCCATTTACACATTCTTGCTGGGAATTTCGTGGTTTGAATATATACATAATAAAAGAGATCCTGAATTTCTTTGCAGGTCTGATCTGTCCCTAAATCCCCATATTCATATATTCAAGAGTCTATTTGATATTTCTATTTGGACATCTAGTCGTCATTTCTGCTTTACCGAATTCTTGATGAACTGTCCTACTCCTCCCCCAGGCACTAAGGACCTATTATTACATTGTTTCACTTTCCAAGTCCCGTTTGGCTTATCTGTTCTCCCTCACACCAGAAAGCTCCATTATCTGTTTCTCCTGCTTCATATTGTACAACAGTGCTTGGCACACAGCGAGGCTTAGAGTTTGTTGACTGACTGATGAATGAGTCTTTGGCACATGCACTATGCCAGGGTGGCTAACAGAATAAAAAGAAGCTTCTTGTATCTATTGAGAGAGACATTTAGAGTAGATACTCATTAAGGCCATTTCCTAAATTCAGATCCCCCTGATCTCCCTTTGGGGTTGCTATCTGGGTCTGTTTTCAACTGTGTTCATTGTCACTCACTTCCATCAAGCTCCCCTCTGAATATAGAAAGTGAATTAGCGGAACCTCCACGGTAGCCCACCCTTGCCTTTAGGCTCTCTGAAAAGGCTCGTTGGTCCTCTGCCCACAGCTTATAAACCAGCTCCATCTGCCAGGTCAGCACCTACACTCAGGGGTGGAGAACTCGCCCAGAGCACGGGGGGGGCAGGACAGCCTCACCTTTGACTTCTCCAAGACCAAGGGGCCAGCAATTGAAGCTCAAAATGGAGCTCCACTACTAAAATGAAGGAGGGGGAAGAGAGGACAGGTTGGAAAGGCATGAGACAGATGGAAGGGATGGACTTTAGGGCATGGTGTCTGGTCCGGGGCTTGGGGTAGAATTCCTCGTTATCACCATTGAACACCGGGCGACCCCTTGGAGAGGAGAGATCTGATCCCAACCCGGGGCTTCTGGTATTGGAAAAAGCCCAGTAAAAATAAGCGTAAGCCCTCGGATGCATTATCAGTTGCTACCTTTGAATAGCTTCACCCTTGAACTTATGATCTGCTAGAATCAAAATCTAAAGGCAAGAAAGCATTTCCTATGTCTCCCCACCACCCCCCACTCAACACCAACAAGCACAGAGCTCAGCTCTTCTCCCTGGGGGCATCCAAAGGCAGGATGACTCAGGGCTTGGCTTGTGGAAGAAATACAACCTTCAGTCACCCTTGGTTGCGGCTGGCAAAACCTGCGAGCAACTGGACAGGCCCCACTCTCCCAAGTGGGGAAATCTGACCAGCGACAGAAACGAGAACGGTCCTCCCTGAAAACAGGGTGGGTGCATTCTGTGGAGGAGATGGTTCTCATGGCAACAGACTGCCCAATGGGGAGCTAGAAGACTTTCTACAAAACCTCATAGGTTTCGCACTTGCGGTGACTGGAAACGCTGCAGGGGAAATGCACATTCTAGAAGCACTTGTGCCATGCCTCGCTGGGAGGGAGAGGGTGGTTGGCTCCTGAGGTCACATTTCTCCTGTTGCCAGCAGGGCTGTCTCGCCACAGACCAATCAAAATCCCTCCTGGGCAGCTGGACTCCTGGGTTGGAGATCTCAGGGGGCAGAAAGGGGATATGAACTGGCAGCATCGAAACCTAAAAACGTATTTTATTTCGAAGTTGTGCTTTGGATTTTCCCCAATCCAACATCTGTTGAGTGACAGTCTTAGGTTCACACAAAGCATCTCCAAGCATACATACAATATTCCAGTTATCAACACTATTTTAAAGAATATACCATTTTACACAAACGTGACATACAAGTCAGACGCCACAACATTGCAATTCCCTGGAAGATCTAAGCTTCTCTTCTGCACGTGGGGTACACACACCAGCCCTTCCTGTGGTCTGTTCATCCTGTTGCTGGCGTCATCTCTCCTCATCTCCTTGGGGAGAAACCAGGGCGCCCTGAGGAGGTTGGCTGAGACCAGTGTTTCCAGCTGACGGGCTGCTGGCTGCAAACTCCTCTCTTCCAGATTGGGATGCTGGTAGCCCCATCCCGCCTCCGATCCCCCAAAGACTGACCCAAGTCCGCACCAAGAGAAGGATCAATGCCTCAAGGGGCGGAGTGGGGCTCTCTGAAGCATCATGCTGGTTGAGGCAAGCAGATCTGAGGAAGACTGGTCTCCCTAGGCCCTGGGTGGCCAGCTCCTTTTGGCTTTTCGGTGTAAAGATCACAGTGTGCAGCCTGAATTCCAGTTGGCCGCAGGAGCTCTGCCGAGAAGGACTCTCCTTCTGTGGGTTCCTAGTCCCCTCGACAGGTCGGTCTCACAGGTGTCAGGAGCACCAGAGAGGGGAAGACAACGTGGCTCCCAGAGCTGGGGGAAGTAGGTGGCTGCTCACACACTGTCCAGTTCATGAGGCAAATCAGCAGAGGGACACTGACCAAGGGGATGGTGGACACAAGTCATGTACAAGGGCCGCAAGAGAAATAAGGCAGGAACAACCAAAGGGGCCCAAAGCGTTGTCATTCAGAAAGCTTTGCTTTGACTTTCTCAGAGAGGAGTTTGCTGGGAGGAGGGGGAATGGGCAGGTGTGGGTCCCAGTGTTGATTGGTTGGAGCAAAAGGAATGTAAAGTGAAGGGCAGGGCTTCCATTTTCATTAAGGAAACAGATCCGTCGGTCTGAAAGCCCCTGTTGGCTCAAGACCTGTGCAAGTCCATGTGACAGACGACCACAGGCCAGCGAACAGAGCAACAAAAGCCAAGAACCCAGAGGCCTGCGGGTCACTTCTCACAGGCTGACTCACTCGACTGAAGGAGTTCTTCCTTTCTCCTTTCTAGCTCTTGGGGTGGTCGTCCTGGTGTGCCAGGTTAGCCTTTAGTGATTAACGATGCCCCCCAAAGCTGCTCTTTCCTTCACCCAGAATGAGGAAAATCCTACCACTTTCCAAAGCACCAACTGCCAACTTCAGAAGATCCAAAAAGGATCTTCTAGGCTAAACATAAGGAAACTCAGATTTTCCTATCTGAATGGCAACCCACCCCCTCTCGATCTATAGAAAATAAGGCTAAAAGCATAGCTTTAAAGCCAGAAGATAAAAAGGAATGAGCTTCAGCTTTAACTGAAGGAGTTGTCTGAGACTCATGAAACAGGGGGTGGGACAGTCCCCAGCCCTGGTACTGCCAGGACAGCATGAAGCCAGGGAAGCTGGGACCAGGGGCACCAGGTTTAGAGATCAGATTAAAGTAGGCAAGGGCATCATTTCTGCTTTTTTGGGAGGAGAACCAGAAAAAAGGCCAACAGAAGGCCAAAATATTCAGTATCCAATTTTTTATTTTGTTAGATTCCGGTCTCGGGAAGACTTTAGAGCCCACAGGGCCAAAGCTCTCTTAGTTGTTCTTATTTGGGGAAAGAAAAAAAAAAGATAGGTTTTAAGGAGTAATGTCTCTCTTTAATCTAACTAGGGCTCTCCAAGCCCCTGTTGGTCCCTGAAGAGAGATCTTACAGAATAACCAAACCAGAGGGGTGAACTTAGGTTACATTTTCATTTGGGAACAATTTGGGGGTTAGCAAAGCTGAATTTAATTTTTGAATAAGATAATGAATTTTGTCTTAAATGCTCAAAAACAGTGGAAGAAGGACCTATTTCTCACCTTTTCCAAACCTGCCATAAACACAGTAAAACTCTCTTAAGACTCTTTACCCTAAAAGGAACCAGCTATAAAACTGTCTTATACAGGAAAGTGTCTTAAATGGAAAATGGCCCATCAGAGACAAAGACAGGAACCCGAGAAATGTCTATACATTCAGAAAAACTTCAGAAGTTCTATAAAAAGACTGAGTTGTATTCTTAGAGGATGGAGGAGAGCAAAAGCAAACACCAATGACCAGTTCACACCAACAGAGAGAAGACAGAGAGAAAGCCCCCAACCCCAGACAGATTGCAGGATCCAGTCGCATCCTGCTCAATTTTTTATGATGGAGAGATTTCAAAGGCTAGGTTCTCTGGCCCAGACAGAACAAGATTTGTAACAGAAACAGAGACCCCTGGTGGCTCTTGTGTGAACTGCCACAATAAGTTACAAAGAGACTGGTCTGGGACCAGGAGAGGCTCCACATGCCAGAGACTAGAAAAAAAACCTGTGTGTGTGTGTGTGTGTGTGTGTGTGTGTGTGTGTGTGTAAAACGAAGAATGGACTATATATGGTTCTCTATAGTCAGTACCCAAAACAAGATGCCACTGAGAGCTGGCTTTCAGCAGCCAACCATCTGGTCAGGCATCCCCTGTGTCTGAGGGGACGGAGACGTGAGCCCGTGTCCTCGTGACTCGCCGTGCCAGATTTCACAGTGACCTGATAATGGAAAAACCTATCTCTGGCTAACCTAAGAACAGTATGTACTGCGGCTGGCTGGATTACGACGACGGGGAGAAGCAGAGGGCAGTGGGAAGGGCAGGGCAGGGTGATAACGAGGGCTTCATTCTCAAGGTTTTGGGTGATGGGAAGGCTAATTCCTGCAAGAACAACTTAGAATCTAATTTTCAACTGAAGTCCCCAAGCTAGTTAAATAGGAAGATTTTTTTTAATAACAGTCAGTCCCTCCAGTCCCCTTGTCTAGAACAATTAAATTACATCCCTCAGACAGTACAAGACTTGTCAGTGGACTGTGGGGAAGATGATGAGTTGACACCAGGGCTAGTGGCGTTTGTTTTGGGGAAGACTGTGGGCTTGGGTCGTGTGGCTGGCGGCTTGACTGGGGCAGCCATCTTGACTGACTTGACAGGCCGGAAGGCGCAGGCGATGTCCCCGGCAGTGCTGGCACTGCGCTGGAAGGCGGGCTCGGGGTCCTTGAGGAGCTGGGTGTGCAGGGGGCTGGAGGGCTCCGATGTGGGGGCCACCACTGGGGAGGTTTTGAGGGGCTCCAAGGTGTCCAGAACCACATCAGGAGTGTGCTTGACACTGCTCTGCCGCTCGAGCTCCCGGAGCTCGTTCAGGGCAGAGTTCATAGTTGCCTCAATATCCTGCAAAACAGGAAAGAGGAGGTGAGGCCGGTGGAAGGAGAAGTCCCCAAGGATCCTATTTCAACAGCATAGGCCAAATCATGAAGAAACCAAATGAAGGGAGATGTCCAGATTATTTTACTTGGCCAAAATCCTTAGACATATGAATGTTCAGAATGTGGGGAAGGAGAAAAAAGGGATTTTCATTATCAGGAGATTTTTTTTTTCTTCCTTTAGAAAAGAGTGGCGGAGATGTTATTTTAAATCGAGTCCTCAGGTTTTAGAGATATGCACTGAAATAATTCTGGGTGAAATGACATATAATCCAGGGCGGGGCGGGGGGGGGAATTGCTGAAGTAAGAGTGGCCGGGAGTCTGGTCACGAGTATGTGGGATTTATTATCCGATTCTCTCTACTTTTGCGTATGCTTGGTATTGTACATAATAAACTATTTCTTACTAAGTGGTAGGGATTAAGTATGATCTTTGTTTTCTTGGCTTCAAAGCCAAAGGTCGAGAAGGGTCAAGGGCTGAGGAAAGGTTCCAGAACCCTCGCCCTGAAGATTCATCAGGACACCTCCCCCCCACCCCTACGCCCACCCCTACCCCACCCCACCAGAGAGCCCAATTTGAGGAAGCCATTTCCCTCTACCCGTCCGTCACCACGAGAGGGGACGGAAGAGCGACCAGGAGGGGGAGCCAGAGCCCGCACAGGTGGGAGCCACAGTGGAACCACCCAGCTCTCAGGAAACAGCAGAACCAAAGACCCTCTGTCCACAGCCAGCTGCCCCTCAGGGAGACCTCCCAGCTCCCTCCCCACCTCTCCACACACTTGTGTCCGGAACCCCCAAACCACCAGAGGGCTCTTCCTTGGAATCAGGCTCACACGTTAAGATGACATGTTCCAAGCCAAGGCCCTGGTTAAGGCCCTTACAGGGTGAGCTATGCTTTCTGTTGACGGTGATTTTCACTCATCCCTATGATGTTCTCAAACCATAAAAATGCTCAGGAAGAACCCCATCATCTCCTCAGTCCTGCTCTGTAGGAGAGTCTGTACGGGGAATGTATTCTAGCTTCATCTTAACACCTGGCTCAGGAGGGAGCTGGGAGGATTCCCATGGTGCAAGGCAGATCGCAGCCACGAGCTTCAGCAGACGCGCAGGAGGAGAGGGCTAGCAAAGCAAGACATCGCAGGCCCGCTGCTTAATACTATGCTTGCCAGGTACGCCTTCCCTAAGCAGAGCATCCCAATTAAGCCAATAGAGACCGGACGCAGCCTCTATTGCCCCCTGGAAGACGGGGCAAGAAGAATCTCAACTCAGTTGAAACACAGGAGGGCAGCGGGGAGCCCTTCGCTCCTACCTGGTCTAACGAAAATTATAGAGTTGGGAGAGGCGTCTCAGTGAACTGCCTGCAGTGACCCCGGAAGTCGGATTTTTAGAGGTGGGGCTGGATCGCTAATGGTCCACGGAAAACAGAGACTTGTCAGTGTGGTGCGAACGCGGAAGGAAGACCCCATAACCAGGGAGCTCACCGCCACCGTGCCTGGGGACGGGGGCTGGAAACCCTTCCGTCACCTGTGCCCCCCGTGAACCCAGGAGCCGTCGGTGGTCTTCCACCTCCCATTAGGGACCAGGGATCAGCCGCAGGGAGCGGGACCGGGGCACGGCGGCGGTGACAGAAAAACATGGCCAGCACTACATCTGAGCCTCGACACTCGCGCAGCTTCACGAAAGCCTACCAGGCTCTCGAAACCCGAAACTTAGGCAGAATGGACCTATCAAAAGATTCTAATGTGTTGCTTTAAAAAAAGTACAAGCCTCGAGAGCCTGTACATGAGTAAAAAGTCTGAATTCTTTTATTCTGTCTTCGAATTCTTGGGGAGAGTGGGATAGACGAATTATGCAGAGAGCTGCCTTCTCAGGTCCAGACGTCCAGCAGCCTCTGAACTCGGTATGTGATGCACAGACTTCCGCGGTTTCAAGGCCCGTCATAATTAACGTAATTAACATGGCGCTATGTGGGCGCAACAAAGGGAGATGTGCTAGCTGGGCATCCAGAAGCCCGACCCCACCTTACCTGTGCAATGACCTCAGGGTCCACGGGCCGATGGTTATTGAAGCTCTTTGACCTCCCTGCTGTCACTGTCTTCCGGATCTGTGGACTGTCCAGCCGATTCTTCAGGGACGAGTGGCGGCTGATGGAGTTGAGGCTCCCATGCCCACTGATGGAACACTTATCTGGCCCTTCCTTGGGGAGACTCTGGCTCATGATGGGCTGGGAAGATGGGCGGCAGCTAGCCCCCACCCCCGGGGTGGCTGAGTCAGTCAGGGAACTGCTCAGCCCATGGCTGTCGCTCCGAAATGTTTTCCGGATACTCCCAGATTCTGGCCTCTTCCTTTGCCTTCAATCACAAACAGAAAGGGCAGCGTGATCAGGGAGTCCTAGCCCCGAGGAAGCTGGGGCAAGAGTGAGAGAGGGGCAGGTGTTGGCATCCACGACTTCTGGAAGAAGAGGGACACACGGCACGTTCTCTCCTTGGCCTCACCTTTCCTTGCTTTCTATGTGTCTCTGGTCCCCTGCCACCCCCAACCTGGGCAAAGCAGAAACAGATACTTACTTGGTGGTCTTGGGCTTTGAGTTCTGGAGATGTAAGGTGCTACCAGGAAAAATGTCTGATTAAGTTAAAGTTTCTAATGGAAGACAGATTCACAGAAAGGCTCCCTCCATTACCTGTTTTGAACAGAAACCTAAGAAACCTATCCAGGTAGGAGAAAAATTCTCACCATCACCAAGAAGGCAAGAGGAGAATTGGTTTTTCCAAATTCTAGCATGTTTCTTAGTCCAAGCACAAGGTTGTGATCATTTTGGACTCAGGGAAGAGGCCGTTGTTGCTTCTTAGGCAGACATGGAAGAGAGTACTTTTCAAGAGGCTGCAGTGTGGCAGGGTCAGGGCCAAGTTTGTGCCTTTTCTTAGGGTGGAAATACATCTACGTGACCCTAAGTCACCCAGTACTGGGCTGAACCCTGGCTCTACGTGAGCTTCCTTCAGCCCGCTGAGACTCTCCCACAAGATGGCCTGGCGGAATCCTAGTAGCATGGGTGTTGCCTACTGCCGAATAATTTCATTTTTTTCCTTGGAATCAGGTTCACAAGGATCTAATCTAAGAAGAAATCCGACTTCTGGTTTGGGCTGGCAGCCGGGCAGCTCTGACCTCGAAACCACTAAGGGCCACGAAGGCCGGGGCAGGAGCAGAGGTGGAGGAAGGGAAGGGGTGGGACTGAAGGTGGAGTGCCGGTCTATGTGGCCAAGCCAGTGTCCTAAGCCAGTCCTGGTCCCGTTCACTGGTCATTTCTTCTCCATGTGCTCCCTGCAGCTGCCCGCTTGGGCCATTAAGCCCTGGGCGTCAGCCACTCTTGAGCAGAAAGAGGATGTTCTCAAAGTCTTATAAGGCCCGGCCGAAATGGCTCTTCCCAGGTACCCCAAGTCCAAGGGCAGGCAGAAGCAATCACTCCCTCTTCTGTTCCTCTGTTCCTTCGGGGCTTCCAATGGTGCTGCTTTTTAGCCACCTGTCCATACAGCCTTTCCTTTGCCGGACTGAGTGCCGAGGCCCAGTACCACCTTATGCATCTCTGCATAACCAGCACGGGCGCTCGGCACAACAGGGAGCCCTCACTAAATGTGTGAAATTAAATCGAACGCCACACCCAAATAACTCTGCTGATTTCCTTTTTCCACTTGAGGATCGCTGACTCACAGAGCTCAAACTGCTGAGGAGGCAGCTTATGGAGTGGCTGGTGTGGGCCAGGTCTCTGGCCAGGCCCCAGGGACAGGAGGAGAGGAAGGCAGAGCTGCTGGTTTCAAGATGCTCAGCCTGGTGGCTTATCCAAGTGCGGCCTCGGTCCTGGGAGAGACTAAAACTGCTGCGGGAGGACAGGACGTGGGCACCTAACTCAGGTCCCGAGGACCTTGGGGGTGGCAGATGGCTTTCCCCAAAGAGGTCAATCCTCGGGCTATGACTTGAAGGGAGAGGAGGAGCTGACCCGGGAGGAAGGGGGCAGCAGATGCAAAGGTCCAGGGGTGCGAGAGAACCCGGGGCCTGGGAAAGGAGGGACGTGTGGGGCAGGCAGGGAGGCTGGCAGAGCGGAGTCACTCCTCAGGGCAAGCACGGCCGGGGGCTGCCACTGGCCCACCGACTAGCTGGAGCCCGTGTCCTCCGAGAACCCCATCCTGACGTCACCAGGTAAGGAGCTCAAGGGAACTGCCCTGACTTTCCACCTGGTGTTCATCTTTTGACTATTTCAGCTATTATCCTGTACAATTTCTTGGTACAGATGGCATCAAATATCTGATGGCTTAGAAACATGTACCTAACTAATTATTCAACTCTCCATCCACCAACCCCACCTTGGTTTCTGGGTTAACGAGAGGCTTACAACCTTATGATGATAGGCTTATAATTAACACAGACTTATAAATAAATAAGAAAATGTGATTAGTCCACAGTTACTTTTTACTAGCTCGGCCCTCCCAGCAGGGCACTGGGCTGGAGGGAAATAAATAAATTCCTTGTTCTTTTTTACTGGTCTGCCTTAAATCATACCTATGCTAAGTGAGCTGAATCAGCGACTTCACTAACTTGAGGGCCAAAGATGGAAAAGAGCCACGTGCCCCAACCACTCCCCCTGCTACCGGCTGGTTGGAAGAAAGCCAAGAGATCTGGGCGAGCTGGTGCAGTTTAAAAACAACAAGCATCTTTTATTCTCCTTCCAGTTTCAGTGTCCAGAGGCTACGGTTAACAGGTTTCCAATGTGCAAATCATTTCATTCCTCCAAAGCCAGAGGGGAATAAAAACTGTACATCATCTGCAATCCGTATTCATCAGGAAGGCCCTGGGGCTTGTCATCCCGCTGGCACTGGGCCAAGTTTCAGGGTCTGGCGGAAAGAGGTCTGCAGGCTTTGGGACTTGGTGTCTGGCCCCTTGAGATGAGATTAGTTCTCCAATAACCTGAATGTCTCTAGGGGAGGCAGCAGCGCACGGGCGTGGAATCCCTCTAGCCGGCCAGATCGGGTGTGGGTGGAGTTAAGACCCTGGGATGGGGCTCACAGCCGCAATGAAAGCTGGGGCCAGAGTTAAGAGCCTGCCGGACAGGAATGGGAATCTGCAAAGGGACTAACGGGACGATGACACAGGGCTAAAGCAACAGGGAAAACACGGACAATTATTTCTACTGGTATGAACGGGCAGAAGGGAGCTGGGGGTTAGGTGATGATGAAAGAGCTCAGGACAAAGCTTTCCTTGGGGGGCGGGGGCAGGCAGAGCGGTCTCCTCTCCTTGATGGAGCCAATGCCAGACAGGGCAGGAAACAGACATGTGGTCTCTCAGTAAACCCCTCTGGGGTCATGTGAGCCTAGTGGAAGACGCACGCGAAGTTGTATCTTTGGACAGAAAAGGAAGGGCCAGGAAGACAGCAAAGACTATTATTTGGGGAAGAATTGGAAAAGAGAAGGCACCTCTGAGAAACAGTGCAAAACCAAGTTGCATAAAGGGACCAAAGCTTTGGTCAAGTTTCCATCATCAGCCGGGACCCTACCGGAGCTGAGGGACACTGCACGAGCCCAGGGTGGGGCAGCCTTCCACAGCAGGAGCCTGGGATCTGCAGGCAGGACCTGGGGAAGCTTCCTCAGCCCGGTCCACCCTGCAGCAGCGGTGAGCACATGCAGTGTTAGGCCGGGCAGGGAGGTGCGGCGCAGGCTTGGAGAGGGGCATGAGGCCGGAGGGCGAGGCTAGGTGTCACAAGGCATTCAGGGGAGCAGAAAATGAAAAGCAGAGCTTACTTGTTGATGTTTGCAAGATAAATATCGGCTACATGACCCCCACTGGGACAGCTGGCCCCCGCTCTGGCTGTCACCTTTTCTTCAGGTGGCTCAGAAATGACCTCAATGTCAGACTTGGGACTGGACCTCTCCACGACACCGTCCTCGCTGGGGGAGAAGGGGCAGGCAGGCAGGGAGGAGGGGGAAACAACAACACAAAAAGCAGTGTTAAATCGGCGAGATGGCCCCCCAACACACACGCGACCCCCGCGACAGCTCTGAGGCAGCAGTGACACCTGGCTGGGCTAGTTCTGCGCACAGAGGCAAGGAAAGCTAAGGGCCTTCGGAGGGTCATTAAATAAATATAAATAATCCCGCTGCGTTCTGTGGGATGCTGTGCGGCCGCCACAAGGCTGAGCTAGAGGACACCTGGATTCGAGGCATCTGCCTTCGACCCCTCGCTTCTTTCCCGGGACGGCTGTGCCGGGGCAACCTCCTGGAGAAGGAGGCTGCCAGTCCAGAGTGCGGTTTATCTGTTGAGGTCCTGAGCACTGAGGGCCAGGACAGGCTGCTCTGCGCTGGCCCTGGAGATGCCGGCGTTGAGGCAGGACACCACCACACTCGGTCGTCGTGCATCGAGCCCCGCTTATAGCGTCCAAGCCGGTCCCAGGTCATTCCACTGCTCTCCCGGCCCCTCTGGCTACTGATGACAAGGAAAGCCCCTTCTCCCCCACAATTCATCTTCTCTCGGTCCCGTAGTGAAGTCATAATGCTAAACTTGGGAGGGTCCTGTCCACGCACAGATGGCCACCAGGTTTGCGATGTTATCAACAGAGAGAGGATCTCCCTGCAGAAGGAGCCGGGGAGAGGCTGGGAGGGTGCAGACTCACTCAGGATATCAACCTTTAAAAAATAATATTAAGGGAAGGACTAAAAACACTGACAGTATCAGCATCGCATCCAAGGGCAGGGAGTCGTGGGCAGAGACAGGGCAACGGGGCAAGGAGGCAGGCTGGGGCTGTGGGGGTGGGGGGAATCAGGGGGGGGGGGGGAAAAGTGCTCCTGCCCCAGAGACTTTGCTTTAAAGAGCAGGGAGCCACCCGACAGCCCAGCTGATGAAGTCTCTCTGGGCCCGGTTCATGTTCCCTTTGCTCCCCGAAGCCCTCTCCCCTCCTCTCCCTGTCTTTCCCCACGTCAACCTCATCTGGGTTAAATGAACTGGCTCATTTCCACCAGGCCGCTTAAGCTAGATGTCTCCTAGAAAAGCAATGCATCATTTTCATTTGCAAGTGGAAAAGCGCCATCAGCGGCCCAACTGGTCGGGATGAGCATAGTTTGGGGTTTTTTTGTTTTGTTTTTAAAAATAAAAGAAGTAAAAACGTTTTCCCACTCTGAGCTTTCCAGAACGGAAATGTAAGTGGTCAAACAATAACCCCTCATTATCACTCATCAGGTTTGGATGTGTGGATGAGCAGGAGTGCTGGGAAGTTTCCAAAATGACTAGCGGGGTGGTGGGTGGGTGGGGAGCGACTCGCAGGGGGAAAAGATGAAAAAACAGTCCTCCACGGAGTCTGGGTGGGGTCCTTCAGGGACAAGGTTGGCTTCCCCTGAGGGTTGGTCTCTCTCACCCTCCTACGGAGCCAGAAATAAAGTCTCTCTCCCACAGCGCAGCTGGGGATGCCTAGAGGGGCAGGGGACCCAACATACGTGTCTTGGACCACGATGTACTGATGGGGGATGAGTCCGTCGATGCCATTGTGCCGGCCTTCCCACCAGTCATCAGAAGCCCGCTGGTAAAGCAGCAGGGATGCCCCCTTCTTGAAGGACAGTTCTCGGGCTGTCCGGCCCACGTAGTCAAACTTGGCAATGGCCTCGATGGGCTCACACTCTGAGAAGGGCAGAAAAGAAGGAAACACATGTTGTGGGGACCCAGAGGCTCAGGAAACTGGGCGGAAAAGCCCAATTAGCTGAACTTACACTGGTGGGAAGATAACCCGGTGTGAGAACTAAGCCACGGAGGCTCGATGGCTGAGGCAGGGATCCCCGTGCAGACTGCACCGTCACCCCGAAAGCACGTGTGCGCCCTTTCCTGCCTTTGGTCATGCTGCTGCCCCCACCCGGAAGCTCCTCCTCTCTCATCTTCCTGACAAGTACACTGAGTCACAACTGAAACAGCATCATTAAAACACAAAACAATACAAAGAATACTTTATTCTCTCAGCAGTTTTCCGTGCAAAAACGAACCACACGTGCATGGCGGGAGTCTCGTCTTGCTTGGACACAGTGTGCCTCCTGGGAGAGCGCGTCACGCTGCCCAACAGACTGAGCCCCGCTCAGGGCAAATGGGAACTTCTTTGGTGCATCCACAGCTCATAACGCCAAACCCTATCACTGACCTTGTCCTGCTGCATTTATAAGCTCTTTTCTGATCATAAAATAACTCCATTAATTGCAGAACATTTATCATACTGTACTCTCGATACAATAAATCTTATTTATACTATCCATTGCCCCTAGTAGACCATGAGCTTTTAGTCTCTGTAGGGAGAAAATAACTCAAACAATCTACTTTCCATGGAGCAAAATACAGAAATATATTTTGTAGCTAATACAGGGGAAAATGGACATAAAAGTAATTTGAAAATTAAAAAGGGGTTTACAAAGGCAGTGACTTTTTATTTTTGGGTGACCTTCTGTCTCCTCTGCATAAAAAAGTACCTTTTTCATGAGCCTGTTAGGAGGAGTCAATAATCAGCAATTTGTAAAAGCACTAAGAACAGGGCGGGCCTATAGTGAGCACGGGGGCGCAGGCATTAGCCCTGATTCTTAGTGGGTCGTCATTACCATTATCTGCGCTGAGCGGCAGGGGGAAGGCCAGAGAGCAAGAAGGCTCCCAGAAACCTGGACCCTGAGGTTAAAGTCGGTATTCCGAGGCGTGGACAGGAAGACTGCCTATAGGCAGGACCAGGCCCAGCCAGCGTGATGGGTGAGCCTGCTCCAGGACAGGCAGGCCTGGAGGTTTCTCTCCAAGAGGTCCACCAGAGAAGGCCTAGCTAAATATCCCATCTCAGTTCTGTACAGCCTTGGGCATATCACTTGACCTCTCTGGCCTCTGTCTGCTCAGCTATAAGATAGCGGGTAGCTCTATTTCACTAGGATTAAGAGATAAGGCCTACAAAGCTTCCAGCAGGGACAAATTTCCCTCCTTCACCTACTCCCCTCCTGTAATGGGGAAGATTATCGTACTGATCCATCTGACTTCGGCATCCAAATAAGCAGCCCTAATTTTTTTCCTTCTCCTCTAAAAAGCTGGCCTAGGATTGTAGAATTCACAGCGAGGCAGAAAGCAGGGAAGGCTCCAAAGACTGCCATTTCGTTCTTGTGCCCAGAAAATTCTGAGGCCCCTTGTCAGCTGCTGAGTCTTCCAAGAGCCCAAGGGGTCCAGAAATGAAGGCGCGGAGCTGTTGGAAGGAGGGACGGCGTGCTGGCCGGACAGACCCTAATAAATCACGGGCGCTGTGGAGGAGCCGGCAGCGACAGATGCACATCCCGCCTCGCGATGCTCACCGCCGGGCTGCTCAGAGCTCGCATGGCTGTACTTTGGAAAGGGTCAATTTTTCCAGTCGGCAGGCGTGAAAGCGTGTGGTTTCTGCATCCTGAGTCCCCCTCCCCTCTGGCTTGCTTCTGTTGGGTTCCTGGCACCAGCTTCTCTATTCCCCAGGCCTACGGTTTTCTCAAATGAGCTCTCCTTGACTTTGGTCTCCAGCTGCCTGGCCAGAGTCTAGGCTGTAACAGGGGACCAACACCACGCCTGGGAGGCAGGCAGGCAAGACAAGGAGCTTGAAGGTGGGTGAGGGGCAGGGGGAAGGGGCGAGAAGCTTTAAAGGCTCTGCAAGGTGCTCCATCTCCGCTTTAGCACAGAGACCGTTCTCCTTGAGAAGGTGGGCTGTCGCTCCAGGAAAGGGAAAAAATGAAAACGAGACAGGAAAGTCCCCTGCCTGTCTTCAGGGGGCTGCTGAACAGCAAGGTGCACTGGGAGCACAGGCTATATAATCCTTTCCTTCCACTTCACCGTCCGCCGCCCCCCCCCCCCCCCCGCCACAATACTGTGGCCCAGCTGCCCTGGAAGTAGCGCCCCCTACCGTCATCGCTCGTGTGGTGCTCTGTGGTCACGTCCTGGGTTGAGTCCTCAGCTGAGGTGGTCTCTCCATGAGGGCTGTCACTGCAACAGAAGCAAGAGACATGGGGACCTCAGCCCCTCGCTGACCAAACTCTTGTCTTCTCCTTCACGCAGTTTCCTTGGAGCAAGGGCATGGAAGCCGTCTCACACTCTCCACCTCCGGACTGCTCCCGACGATGATGGTAAAACACAAGGCTCCCGAGGTTCTCTAGTCGCTGCTGCAAAAACTATTTGAGACTGCCTGGGGCTTAGAATATCCTGAGACAGAGGGAACCCCTTTTGAGCTTACAGAATAAGTCTTTTTGAAAATACAGAGCAATTCAACCCCTCAAGGGCTGTTTTGGGTGAACTAGTCCCTGGAGGTAGCCCATGGAAGAAAACACTAGGCTTTTGCCTGGGACACAACAGAACCTGAAAACCAGCCCTGACACTCGGTAGCTGTGGGACCCTGGGCAAGGGACGGAATCTCTTTAAGCCTCAGCCACCTAAGGTTGATAGTCTGAGGCTAGTGGTCTGTAAAATGTCACAGCGTCGCCTGAAGACTCCCTGAGACATGAAGTGGTCAGTAAGTGGTCTTCCTTTCCTTCTTTCTCATTTTGCTTATGTCTCTAGGCTTTGTGGTTTGGTCTTGCATGGGTGAGAGTGGGAGGGGAGTCAGAGGGAGATGAAGAGTCTGCTGTGGGCCGGACTCTGCGAGAGGGCAGGGCATGGAAGCTGGTCAAGTTCTTCAACAGTTTATGGAGTCTAAAATCATCCAGGGTTGAGAAATGAGAACGGTCAGGGAAGCTCCCGGGAAAACCATTTCCCCTCCTGGTCTCCTGCCTTGTGGACATTAGAGTGGATGGAGATGGGCACCAGGAAATTCTAACTTCCTGAGAAACAGACAAAACCCCCATTCATTGCTGAAGCTTCTTCCTCTGGCAGTTGGTAGTAACAAGAGAGCCTTTCCAGGCAATTCTATGGAAGCATTAATTACCACCTCCTCTACCCACCACCTGGCCTCACGATTCCTACCTTTGAGCCTATAGCCTTTCCCTCCCCTTGGAACAGGGACAGGTCTTTCACTCCAGAAGGTTCCTCAAAGACCAGGGGACCCATTCAGAAGTCAGTTCCAAGAAGGCTCTCCAGAATCCAGAGAACTTTCTGGGAGAGCATCAATAGGATTCCTCCTTTTTTATTTTTATTTTTAAAAATTTTTTAACCATTTCCTGAGCACTTAACTACCAGCAAGACGCTGCTCCAAGCGCATTACATGAACTAACTTATTCATTACAACAACCCTATGAGACAGGTAGTCTTGGTTTCCCATTCTATAGATGTGGAAACTAAGCCACAGAGAGCGATGTAGTTTTCCTGAGACCACAAAGTTAGGATGTGGCAGATGAGTGTGGGAATGAAAGAAGGAAGGAAGGAAGGAAAGAAGGAAGAGAGGAAGGAAGGAAGAAAAGACCCAGAGAATCCTTCTTATCAAAAAATGTGGGCACAATTTTTCACGGTTTACTGGGCCAAAAATTCTGATGAGCTTCATGACACTCTAGAAGCCCTCGGGGCCGCAAGGGCATACAGGGCAAAGGCTCAGTTTCCTCCAGAGTTGCAAGTGTAGTTACGTGGCCATCCACGAAGGCAGCAATTCTCCAACTTCAGGGAGTCCTGGACAGCTTGTTAAAAGTGGACTACCTCACCCCCAGAGTTTCTAAGTCTCGAGGGCGGGCAGAGCTGGAATGTCTGTATTCCTAGCCAGTGCTATGTCACGTAGGTGATACTGGTCCAAAGACTCCGCTTGGAAAACCACTGCTCTAACGGAAAGGCGAGATGATGCCTTTACTAGGCCCCTGGTAGCTCTGGAATTCTATGCTTGACTCCACACCCACATGCTGGCCACACCGCAAGCCTGAGGACACCTGCGGTCTGCAGAGGTCCCACAAGCCGAATAGCAGGCAGTCCAGGGAACTGGATTCTAGCTTCAGGGCTTGGTAAGCGAGGTGAAGGGGGACTGCCCTCTCCTCTTCACAGCTACGGGGAGGCCAAGTGGCCAGCAGGTCCCTCTCCCTGGCTCTTCCGGTCTCCCGGCCACTCTCCAGGATTCTCAGGCTCTAGACCCCTTCCACCACTACCCCCCCCACCCTTCATCCATCTTAGCTTGCTTCTCTGTCACTTCTTTCTCCTCTCAAAGAAGAGAGGCTGGGAGCCTTCTGAGTGGGTGAGTCCAGCGGTCAGAAGGTCCTTCTTACCCAAGGTCACCTCCTCTTGGTCCTCGGGTGCTTTGCCTCCCACCCAGTCTGCGGTAGTAACATTCCTTCACTGATCTTGCGGTTTGTCCAGAGGCTGCTAATGACAGTCGGATGCACAACAAACAGTGGGGGGCGGGCAGGGGGGCTGCTCCCTGTGAGTCACCCCTGTAGTGATTCTGTCTGCTTCCCTGGTCTGGGACTGGGGGAACAGGGCTTGGTGGGGGGGGGCTCTGTGTCTGGGGATCGGCCCTGAGATATTTGAGACATGAGGGCACACTTTGGAAGGAAGATAAAGCAGGCGCTGGGAGCACTACTTCCACAGCTTTTCAACCCTCCTGTGAGAGAAACCGATGCTCCAAGTCACATGCCCAAGGACAGCTCCCTGGAGCTCATCAGCTTGTAGGCTGAGACCTGAATGACTTCCCCCGCCCCCACCAAGCATCTGTCAGTGACGGAAAGCTTTCTCTCCAAGCTGGCGAATATGGGCTTCTCCAGCTCGGACCCAGGTGCTGGGATCTGTGGGACAGCGGACAAGGCCAAAGCCAGCGGTGTCAGTGGTATTTTTACATTCACGGACACATGAATATCACGTTCTTCACTCCTCAGGCAGGAGGCTGTTCCGGGGTGATCAGGGAGAAGCATGGGCCCACTGGCCTCTAATTAAGTCAACAAACTCCCCCTCCTCCCCCTGCCTCAGTGGGTAGCAATGGGGCTGCCGAACTGGTTCCAGATGTTGCGTTCAGACGGAATCCGATTTGCGCTAGCTCATGCTTTTAGCTCAGGCTGAAGCACCATTTGATGGGGAACATGCGAGGAGATGGGGGGGGAGGTAAGGGACATTAAGGAGTAAAAGACAGAGGTGGTTGCCTTTGTGTTTGATGGGGAAATGACACTGTCAGTGGTACCCCCGGGGTTTAGTGTGGGGTCCTGGATGGTGTCCTGTACTAAGACGTGTCAAGGTTGGAATCCCCACCCCTAAAGTGGCCTGAAAGATTGTCACTGGCCTCTCTGGGTTACAGTGACTGTATCTGTAACATGGAAAGAATAATTTGGTAATTGTCTAACAGAAGGGTCTAGTAAAGATGTGCCCTAGGGATTCCTTTTACATCTCTGTTCCCAGCCTCGGTCATGAAAAACCTCGCCCCGCAGGATTTAATCTCGCTTTAGGGTGGAAGTATGCCTAATTTGCCAAAAACGGAGCTCACCCCTTCTTCTCTTCACAAATTTCTGCGATCATTCTAAATTATCATTGTATAAACTCACAGTGAGGGAACGATGCCTCATACCTAATAGGCATGAGGCATAAGAAAGAAATTCTTCTTTCTGGGACCCGGGGTTGTGTCTCTCACAACACACAGCCCAGAGCAGGAGCCTGAGAGACATTGTTGACTGATGAGCAGCTGTTCTAAATACAACTTTACAAATTTTCCTCTCCTGGAGATTATTAACATTCCTATTATTGCTGTCATTATTTTCCAGAATGGTTCCTCACCACTAAGAACTCATAAGAAATAGGGACGTGGCACCAAATGGCACTTACTCCATACGTCGGGTTGAGGCAGGGCACTGCCCGAACCACCCCACCCCCCCCCAGATCCCGGCAGCTTGAAGTGGGAGGCTGAGAGGCTCTGGGTGTTTCCCTTGGGTCTCACTTGACCATCTGGCTCCCATACCCAGTAGGCACCAGGGATACCTCCCACACCGCCTCCAGCCCAGAGCTCCCTACCAGTAGTCCTCCGTGCTTCCTCCTCTGCTGTAGACGGGGCCCTCCAGCTCCCTGGAGGTTGGGAAGATGTTCTCATGCTGGATGATGGTGGTTTTGATCAGCTCGTTCACGTGGGCTTGGCAGGACACCTGGTCGTGGCCCTCAGGCACTGACATCAGTGAGGGCCCGAAGCAGATGGCGAGGTTGTAGGGGTCCATCATGTTCTCTTCACTGAACTGTGATAAACTGGAGGAGAAGGGAAAGGGGCAAGCTGGAAAGCACTCGCATGAATACCCAGAGAACACAGTCATGGGAGGCACTGCCAAGAGCAAGAGCAGAAGTTCCACAAATTGCACCTGCTTTTCTGGGCATCGGAGCCCTTCTAGAAAGTCCTCAGGGAGAAGACAGTGACCGGTCATTCAGGAGCCACCTCCTAGCAGGCCTCACCCCTCCTCTCTCACCAGCTCCTCGTTCAAATTCTACTTGCCACCCCACCACCACCCCCCGCTCCACACCTTCTCGGCCAGATCTCCCCGGCCTCGAGAACACACCACTCCGTAGAGCGGGGACGACTCCCACACACCAACCCACTAAAGCTGCCAGAGCAGACGGAGAGACCCTCAGGCTGCCCTCATAATGACACGGTCAGAAGACGCAGGCGTTGTGCGCTGTGTACCTTCCTGCAGAGCAAAATAATCAAATTACTAGGGATCTTCCATTCCGAGCTCCAGACTTATTAAAAAAATTCGCCAACCGATTAGCTTTTGCATTCCATTAAGCAAGTGAATTTCTTTCTGGAAGCTAATGTAATTGTTTTTCATTTCCATAATATCCTCTACTATTACAATCAGGATTTATTCAGGAAAAGGTCAGCATGCCGCTCAGTTTCTGCTCAGACCTCCTCTGGATGCAGTCTGACTTCGTTATTGGCTATTTCGCCTGGCAACTGGCCCTGCCCAGGCAGCAGCTGCTCTGGCCACACCTCCAACCTTGGCCAAGGACCCTTCAGTGAGCCGCTGGGTCTCATTGGCCCCCACTGGTCTCTGTTCACCCAGGTGGAAGGCTCGGCTGGCTCCATACGTGCACTCCCAGCCCCCAGTCCCAGGTTGTAGAGCTGTGAGCTCTGCTAAGGAGTTCTGCCTCCTCCATGGGCCTCAGCAGGTGGTCCCCAGCACCTGATTCTGACAGATCTGAGGGGAACCCAAAGCCCTCTGATGCTGAACCAGAGGCCCGAGGCTCCGCTGTCTTCATCTGCATGGGTGTTGTTCAGAACTGGACAGAGTTCATTTCTAGTGGATCCCGCCCCCCAGATTCCAATTACCAAGCTGGTCTCTCTCTAACCCAGTGGTTCTCTCCTCTACTGCAGATTCGCATACGTCCCCTGTCCACCTTGCAGAAGCAGTACCACGGATGCAAACAGCTGTTCCGGGGAGAAAATGGTCGGGGTTGAGAATCACTCTTCTCGAGGACCTAGTCAAATGCAGGGAGGCCAGCCAGGGGTGAGGTTATGGGTCCCCCCCCATGGGTGGGGCTGCTTCACAGAAGGTCTGAAAGTTTGAATTGCATAAGCCTCCCCCCGGCTCCTGAGTTAAAAGAGAGCCGAGATTCAGAAAAGACAGGGAGAAATTTCCAAGTCTACTTCTTGGTCAAACAGATACTGGAGACAAGAGAGATAATTACCTCGGTAACCTCAGCAGGGACAAGGAGGAGGAAGGCCCTGTTCCTTTAGTGCGATCTGACGACATTTGCGAACATGGAAGAAAACCAGTCATTTCTGAGAAGCCTGGCCATTAGAGGGAAACAAAGTCTAGCCCTGAGAGTCCCAGTTGAAGACCCGTGAGAGATGAGCAGCCTTGCCAAGCATCCTAAGGGAAGGGCTGTTTGATTCACAGGCAGCTGCAAACGACGAGGGGCTTGAGGGGGACACATCTTTGTGGACTGGGGTCTCATGGGCCAGTTCCATTTCTTACTCCCATTAAAATATAAATCAAGGTCCTCTCTTCCAATCTACAATGGGAACACCTAGATTGAGGGGTTAAAGCCATGGTTCTTAACTATTTGGGGGTCACAACCTCCTTCAAGAATTTGACAAAAACTAGAGATCCTCTCCCCAAAAAATTCATACATGTACACATACAAATGCATGTCCTTTCATATGCAATATAATGGTGCTAAAAATCCTTGAAGACCCTCACGTCTGTGCCCAGTATAAGAATTTAAATACTGGATTTTTATTTTTAAAGAAATACTTACAATGGAAAACACTGGTAACAGGTCCCTCTTTTAAAATTTTTTTTGGTATCGACTTGTATAATGCCATCTCTTCTAAGAACTGGGCTAGATTTCTAGAACTTCTATCCATAATATTAGTGAATTCTTCTAATTGATTTGAACTCATCTTCTGTGCTTCTTAACAAGGTTCAGGATAGTGATTGGGAACACAGGCTTTGGGGAGGGATGAGAAAATCAGGATTGAGGTGGGAAACTTGTTTTTATGATGCACTTCTCTGGACTTTTTACCCTTTAATGATGCACATTTGTCCCTTTGATTAAATTTAAAAAAGAAAAACAAAACATCCCCAAAATTTTAGAGTCAATGAGACCTGGTTTTGAGTCCTGGCCCCATCATGTACCGGTTCCAGGAGAATATTCTGATTTCTAAATCTCTTTCTAAGTTCCCCTCCTTTGAGGGGCTGTTTTAAAGCTTGAATGGGGGAGCACCTGGGTAGCTCAGTGGGTTAAAGCCTCTGCCTTTGGCTCAGGTCATGATCCCAGGATCCTGGGATTGAGCCCCGCATCGGGCTCTCTGTTCAGCAGGGAGCCTGCTTCCCCCTCTCTCTCTAACTGCCTCTCTGCCTACTTGTGATCTCTGTGAAATAAATAAATAAGATCTTTAAAAAAAAAAAAAAAAAAAGCTTGAATGGGCTGTCACACGCAGAGCACTGAGCCCCATGCCTCGCACACAGGTGGTGCACCATCACTATTTTCTGTAATTATAATATCCAAATTGCTTCTTGATATAGGACCCTCGATTCTAGTCAGGGAATGGGAAGCAGGGCTGTCAACATTGGCCAGCAACTGATTTATAGAGGGCTAGCCATCTCCTTTCCCGACAGATATCATCAACCTGAGGACTCTAGATCCCAAAATCGAAACCTTAAATCCTCAGGGAGAACACCAAGCTTCGGACAGACTGTTTTAAATATGTGACATTTCACTTAAAAACCTTCAGCTTCACTGGCCCCAGGGGTTTGATTTGGCAACAACCAACAGACTATGGGTAAGATATTAATGCATCAGGGTTGATTTTAGGTTTGAAAGGGATGAAGAGAAATTGTATTATTCACCATCGCCCCAGGCAAGTCATGCGGCTGAGAATCCATCAGGCCTTTAAAAGCTTTTCCAATAGAAGACACTACAACTTCCCTCCCTAAATCCATGATTTAACAGCATTCCCCGACGTCCCCAAAAGGCTAAGAGGTAAGAAGTCCAGTGTAATTCTGGCTGATGTTTCCTGATGGTCCTTCAAAGGCATCCTGTCACTCGCCTTGTTACTCTCTCACCTCCAACACCAAGGGTCGGCTTCCTCGTGCTCCCCGCATCTACTAAGGGACTTGCCTCTGTGCCCTCATGTCCCGCCTTCCTTCCCCTGCAGTGAACTCCATCCTTTCTCTCCAGCAAGAGTATCAGCCCAGCAACTGCACCATCAGTTTTCCTCTCCACTGGGTCATTCCCACCAGCATACAAACATGCAGGAATACTGGCCTCATGAAAAAGAATCCCCTCTTAACCCCATGTCCATACCACATTACTGACCCATTTCTTAGAAAACTTTCTGGGACTTATCTGTACCTGCTGTCTGTGATTCTCCGATTCATCCCCACCCCTTCTGCTATGGACTGAATTGTGTCCCCCCCCTCCCCAGATTCCTGTGATGAAACCCTAGCCACCCCCCTCCCATGGGACTACATTTGGAGAAAGGATCTTTAAGGAGATAATTAAGGTTAAATGAGATCCTAAGGGAGAGGGCTGAAGCCAAGAGGACTGCTGTCCTTATAGTTAGAGGAAAAGACCCCAGAGCTCTCCCTCTGTGCATAGAGGAGAGCCACAGGGGGAGGCAGAGGGAAGACGGCCACTTAGAAGCCAAGGAGGGACTCCTCAGCAGAAACTGCCCCTGCCGGCACCTTAACCTTGGATTTCTAGACTCCCGAACCATGAGAAAATGAATTTCTGTTGTTGAAGTCACCTAGTCTGTGGTACTTTGCTACGGCAGCCGGAGCATCTCTCTTACTCCTCTGCCACTTTATTGTGGTAAAATCTACATATCGTACAATAGACCATTTTTCACCATTTTAAAAAGTGTCTAATTCAGCACCATTTAGCATATTCACAATGTTGTGCAACCATCACCACCGTCTAGTTCCAGGACACTTTCATCACGAGAAAGGAAACCCCATGTCCATTGGCAGTCACACCCCACCCCCACCATCCTCCCCTCCCCCAAGTCCCTGTCACTGCTGATTTGCCTGTTCCGGACACAGCAGATGTATGGACCCTGGCCCCACGCAGGCTTCTGTGACTGGCTTTTTTCCTCCAAGAGGATGTTTTCCAGGTGCACCCACACTGCAGCATGCCACCGTAGGGCCAGACAGGTAGGTCCGCTGTATGGACCTACTACACGTGGTTTATCCATCAGCGGCACCCCTTCTCTCCCGACCTGACACCATCCGGGTCTGGTCCCCTTCCACTCCATCAGGACAACACTCCTTAGGGTCACCAGTGCTCTTCCAAATGCTAACCTGATTCTGAGTCCTTTCCTCAGCAGGCCTGTCATCCCCTTTACCTCTGGTTTCACTCCCTCTTCCTCTACATGGCTACTGGGACACCATTCTCTCTAGGTCCTCCTCCTACCTCACGGCTCACGGTCCCCTGCTGACACTGTCTCTTAAAGAGCAAACTTTTGCCCTGTCCCCTGCACTCGCCAGTTCCCTGACCTGCTTTATTTTCTCTAGAGTGCTCTTCCTCTGATACAGGGTATGCATACTCATGAGTTTGGTCTGTCTTCTTCCATAGAACACGAACTCCAAAAGGACTCCATGAGACACCTGGACTGTTCGGTGCACTCTTAGGTGCTTAGTACCAAGAACAGGGCCTGGCCAACAGCGGATGCTTAATAAATATGTGTTAAATAAGGGAACAGATAAGCCCACGAGCAGCTGTGGGCGCTCTAAGACACCCCAACCACAACTCTACTTGTCCATCTGCGTGTGGAAACCAAAACACTCCTTGTGAAAGTCAGAAGAACTGCCCAGAATCCTTCCAAACAGGGAGGCACCTGGAGATTGGTGAGATTTCAAGGAAGATTCAGCTTTTCTGGAGACACAGGGGCACCTTAATAGGGCGAAAAGCCCCTGGTTCACTCTCTCATTCAGATGAAAAAGAGGACCTGAGCCTTTGAGGGCCTACAGCAGTGTTTCTCGGACTTTCATGAGCATGAGACTCAGCAGGGGAACTGGTTAAAACACAGATTTGGGGGCGCCTGGGTGGCTCAGTGGGTTAAGCCGCTGCCTTCGGCTCAGGTCATGATCTCAGGGTCCTGGGATCGAGTCCCGCATCAGGCTCTCTGCTTGGCAGGGAGCCTGCTTCACCCTCTCTCTCTCTGCCTGCCTCTCTGCCTACTTGTGATCTCTCTCTGTCAAATAAATAAATAAAATCTTTAAAAAAATTAAAAAAAAAAACAAAAACACAGATTCAGATTCATAGGTGTTTGAGCGGGAAGGGCTGAGACTCGGCATTTTTAACCATCTCCCAAATGATGGGTCCATGGACCTCACTTGACCAACAAGAGCCTGGAAGACTATATTGTTTGACATCTGAAGAAAGCAGGTTTCAAAAGGCAAAAAACAGAGTCGGCTGCAGTGAGGGGGAGCTAAGGACACTGTTGGGGGCCAAAAAGTCACTGGGCAGCACATGGGCTGTGGTAGGCAGCCTCTAAATGACCCCCATGGTCCCTGCCTACCGGTTTTCACACCCTGGTGTAATGTTCTCCCTCTGAAGTGTGGACTAGATTTAGTGACTCACTTCTGGTGAATGGAAAATGGCAGAAGGCATGGGACGTCACTTCTGAGATTAGGTTACCAAGGACTATGCTTTCTGTCTTGGGTGTTCTCTCACTCACGTGCTTGGAAGGAAGCCAGCTGCCATGTTGTGAACAGCTCTGTGGTGAGGCCCGCAAGGTGAAGAACTGACGAAGGCCTCTGGCCAACAGTCAGCCAGCAAGGAAGGTCCTCGGTCCAACAACCTGCGAGGAACTGAGTCCCGCCAACACCACAAGTGAGCTTGGAAAGCGGAACCCCCCCACAGTGGAGCCATTAGGAGAGACAACGGCCCTGCCCCCACACCCTCACAGCAGCCTCAAGAAAACTAGAGCCAGAGGCCCATCATGACATTGCACCTACACTGGGGATTCCCGACCCCCAGAAACTGCTTTTTGGTTTAAGTTGCTAAGTTTTAAGGTAATTTGTTACACAGCAATAGGTAGTTAATGCAGATGCTAGAAAAGATAATGTTAATGATTAACAAGGCTTGCTGGACAGGCCTAGGTTCATTCAGTGGGCCGGGCACTCCAGAGGACACTTAGTTACATACACGTATGGAACCAGGTTAAGTCCGCACAGTGCTGCTGCACGTGTAAAGAGTCCCACACACATTTATACACATACTAGTTTTCTGGCTCCTTGAGATTCAGGAGGTGTACAACCCAAGAGAAAGACTGTAGTCAGAAATAAAATACATACACCCTAGGACGCAGAACAACAAAGGAGAGCGGTCCTGAAATCGGGGCCCAGCAGAGCCTCCCTCAGGACCTCCCTGTCAACAGTCGCCACATCTGTTGATAAGAGTACACTTACGACCCGCCATCTTCCCACAGAGGTGGTATTCTCTAGCACCTGTGTCCTGAATTCCATCCTTTATTTTAGGAAACACCGTGGTTATTAATGCTGCATCTTTCCCACGAAATACTTTGATGAGCATATACACCTTTTTGTAACCAGACAAAAAAGGAAAACAAAAGAAAAGTAACGGTTACACTGGTGTAATTCCCATGCTTCCTACAATAGTGGCCACCATGTCTACCTCTGCCAGAGGCTCCCTCTCTCGCTCCTCCTGTCCCGCGAGCTCCCTGCCACCTTCACTCAGCAGGAAGAAGACGCAGGGAGGAGAGTGAGGCCATGGTGCTTCCGCACGCAGCTGCCCTGGGACCTGTCTGCCCCCTGCCACCTCTTCACACTCCCACCCTGGGGGGCCAGACCAGGCTCCTTTGGTGGGCAGGTGTCTGTCAATGAGGGGAGACAAGGACTGGTGGTCCCGAGGGGCTGACTGGCTCAAGAGTCAGTACGGGGTTTCCATTTCCGACAGCCTTCAAGGCAGGGCATGTGAACACTGTCTGTGGGTTGTGAGGGCTACTGAGCGCGGGCGGCAGCGGTGCTGAGTCAGGGCTCGGCTAAGGGAAGGCGCAGACACGGCCACGTGGAGGAGGCAGGCTGCAGCCAGGCTGAAGGACGGTGTGGGTGCCCCGACAAGGTTCCCGGCCGGGCTGCTAGCCTAGACCCCCAGAGGGGCGGGCTGACCGTGAACTGTAAGCAAGCCCCGCTCATGAGATGGCCACTAAGTTTGTTTTCCTTGGAAGCAAAGGCCAAACTGACCAGGAAGATGAAGAAATTTTGTTTTCTCTTTTGACAGATTCATGGATCTAGAGAACTGTCTCTCCACGAGAGGAAAGCCCATGAAGCAAGAGTGAAGACAAAGGGCAAGCAGAGTCAGCCTCGGTATGGGGAGTGGGGAGCCGGCCTCCCCCTGGCAGCAGCCCTGACTCCACGCGGAACGGCCTCCTTGCAGAAGGCGAGGCCATCAGTGACAGGTCTAACAGGGTTTTCAAGAGAAGCTAGAAACTGAAGTATTTTAAGTAAAATTCCCTAATATTTAAATGTTTCAATGTTTTTAAGACACAGCAGACTGAAAGGAAACACCTCCAGGGCCTTACCTGGCTTTGCTGTTGCCCACATACAGCCCGTGCTCCAGGCTATTGAGGGAGCAACATGAAGACAGAGGTGCCCATGGGGCAAGCACCACATGTCCTTGCTTGTTGCCTTGCTGTCCTGTGGGGACCCAATGCCCACCCTCGGCAAGGACACTGCTCGCACAGGAAGCCATGCCCCATCCAAGCCCAGGGCCCCTCTGGCCCTCAGACCTTTCTTCTAGCTAGGCTCGCTCCCTGGGTAACCAGCTAAAACATCAGTACACCGTCACTCCAAACTCATATCTCTAATCTGAGTGTCTAATCCGAGTGTCAGATTCCTATGTCCCACTCCCAGTCAGAAATTCCCCTTGGAGGCCTGACAGGCACCTCAGAAGAACATGGCGACATGGGTGCCTTGTCTCAATTCAGTTCTCCACACCTCATCTCTTCCCCAACTCCATAATGGAGTCACTAGTTCCCTGTTGCTCATGCCAAACATTAAGAATTTCTCTTTCCTCCCACTCTACAGCTTCCCCATCGGGAAGTCTTGTCAGTGTTGTGCTCAAAATGGACCCCAAACCCAACCCCACTTCATCGCCCTCCCTCATGACTCACCCCCCGTCCCCCTGTTGAAGCCCCCAGTGCCTGTGGCTGAGACCTCACGTTAACCTCTGCATAGGTGCCCCCGCTTCTCCTCACAGACCTCGATGGTAACTTCTCAAAGTTGTTGGGCTTAAAGAATATATACAGATCAGATCTTATCACTTTCCTGCTTAAAAGCTTCCAGTGGCTTCCCAAATCCAAACCCATTATGACCATGACTCTTGGGCCTTGACAGCCTTGAACACCCTTTGTGGCTCCTTCAGTCACTCCATTTGGGCTGCTGCTCTCACACAGTCTCCTCAGAGAGGCCTCTGCTGACCTCCCCTCTACAGCGGCTCTCCCTCTACCCCCCACGCCCATTCCGACCCTCCCGCACTCTATCTCTGTACTTACGCTTCTTTATTCTTCATCTAAGCACCCTTTCCCGCCTGACGTATCTGTTATCTGTCTGTCTCCTACCCTGGAATGTGAGTTTAATGGTATCAGGGCTCTTGTCTCTTGTCTCACAATGTACTCGCTCAGCCTACAACTGTAGGGCCTGATCCCATTGTTCACTGGGAAGTCTACTCACTGATTGAGGAAGGCAAAGAGGTATCTCATGATAATCAGAGTGGTTTTGGGCAGGACCAGGAGAACTTTCCGGATGTGCAGAGCTCTCTCCTGCAGGTTGTCCATTGCTGAAAGAAGACAGCCATGCATTATTGTCCATCGCAACTGAGATCCCTCGGAGTAACGGCGTGAGGGCTGGGACCACCAGCAGGTGCTGCAGAGACAGCAGCCACGTCCACGCAGCACTGGTGTGCCAGGCAGGGAGTGCCATCCCTGTGGCTCCCTGGGGCAGGACTGCTGCCACCGGGCACCTGCTGGGCTCCAGACGCGTCCTGATGCAGGACTGAAGGCCTATGCTCCCTGGGCTCAGAAGGGGTTGGGGATATTCCCCAAGCACCTGCTGCTCTCTTATTAAAGCAACCACAGACAAGGAACAGTCCCCAATCCGCTATGACCGCAGACTTGACCCCCTTGGAGGATCGACATGCCTGCAGAGGGAGACAGGCTGTGTAGCACCCGTCCCGCCCACTCCACATAGGCATCATCTCATCCTCTGGACAGGTCTGGCTTATCTCCCCCGTCTCTGATCTGCAGGGGGGTTGGGCGGAAAGTGGCCAGAGGCCAGAGAGGGCAGATTATAGTCATGATATCTGGGGAAGAAGACCCGAGGTTTCCTGTTCCTTGTGCTGTGCACAGACCAGTTACAGGTGAGGCCCTAGGCTGGTGGCCTCCATCACGGCCAGCCTCCCCACTAGGGGGCCACGGGATACTGTTATTTTCTAAGAGTGCCTTTCTGTGAAAAAGAAGTGGAAAGCGGTAGATCAGGAGCACATCTCAAGGGGAGAACTGGGCAGCCTGGGTATTTTGAACTGTCTTGGTAGCCCCAGTCCACAGAAGACATCTAAGCTCGGTCCTAGAACAAGATGTGGAGACAGGAGGGTTGCCTATATTTAATAGGCACAGAACTCATTTCCCCTCGAGTTCCACAAAGAGTGGGTAGACAAATAGAACAAGGGAGCTTACTGAATGCCCTGGCGCCTTTCTCTCTGACAACAGCAGAGTGGGACAATGTTCAGGGCATACACTGAGGCCAGCTGGAGACTTGGGGGCCATGAAGACCCTGGTGTATCTGGGAAGAAGACTGTCTCCCCCATTTCAAAGTCACTGCCTTCTCCAACCTCTAGAGCCATCATTCCAGTGGGGTCTACTTCCAGGATGACCTGATATTAATCTAAATTTCCATGCATTGTTTCAGGATAATCAGCTAAAATACATGGCTAAGCATAGTTTTTCAAGCCCCAGATTTGAGAGTAAGAGGCAGGAACCCATAAGGATAAAGAATGAAGTAGATGGATGTAGTAAAGGATGAAGTAGAGACTATATCTCTTTCTAGGAAAACATCATATTGTGACATTTAAATGTGCAGAGGGGCTCTTATTCCTAAAAGAACACATATTACCACATCTAGCAGGTAAGGCACATCACGTTTAGCAACAAGCGGGGGCACCTGGGTGGCTCAGTTTGTTAGGGGTCTGACTCTGGATTTTGGCTCGGGTCATGATCTCAGGGTTGTAGGGTGTGGAGCCTGCTTACGATTCTCTCTCTCCCTCTGCCCCACCCCCTCCACTTAAAAGTCAATCAATCTTATAAAAGATTCATTTGAACCTTAATTATAAAAGAAATAAAGCAACAAAGCAGAAACTATTTCCCCTTTATATCATAAAAAGCATAGGTACTAATGCATGAGCTCCCAATAGCTGAAAAGCACTGTATCTCATATATGAATAGAAATATATTTTACTGGAGAAAAATAAAGCCCAGCAAAGCAAGGAGTTTAAGGCGAATCAGAAAGAAAAAGCCAGAGTTCTGACTTGTGGTCCTAGACTCTTACGGAAAAGCCATCTTTCCTCCCTCCCGCCAGGGGTGCAGGACAGAGGACGAGGAGGAGAAACTTCACAGAGAAAAAGGAAAAAGAAAAATATTATTGAGAAGCTTATGGGGAAAAAAAAGACCCCATGGACTTTTCTTATCTGTCGTGACAAGGCGTCCTTGCCGAAGCCTGGCTGAGGTCAGGATGTACTTACTGACACAAGCCATCAGGTCGTGGAAGATGTCCTTGGGGAAGAGAGGATGTTCTAGGCCCCGGAAGTAAAGCTTCAGGACGCCAGCAATGGAGTCCATGTCATGGTCATTCTGGTCTCCAGCCAGGGGGTCCTCTCCTGAGGATAAGCAGCCCCCCAAAAAAGGAAAGAGAGAGTGAGAGAGGTAAAAACACACGGGACAAAGCAGAAGTGGTGGGGAAGGGGTGGCCTGTCCCAGTCCTCATCAGAGTCCATCAACTCTCTGCCCAGCGTGGTGGCCATAAGTAGGGCAGACCAGAGACTAGATAAAGCCAAGACTACTTAGACCCGGGGTCCCCCGGCTAGAGGAGGGCACAAGGGTCCACTAGGATAAATTCGCTTCTGCTAGACCAGCTCAGGGATATTCCCTAGGGGCCGGAATGGGCCATTGCAACCGGCCCTCTCACAAGAATCATGAAGCCAGTCTGGGACTGAGCCTCTGGGGGAGGAAAATAAGGCCAAGGAGGCTCACCCCTCTGACTGGCCCTCACTCCGCCTGGCTCGCAACAAAGGACACCTACTTATAGGAGAACAATCACACTGGAGCTCCCTATGGAAAATTTCATATCAGATGTAATTAGATTTAATGATAGGACCAACCTCAAATTGAAACTATATATATCCATTACAGTGACGGAAATTGCCAAAGCTTGCCCATTACCTTAATAGCCCACAAGATAATAAATGGGCTACGATGAACAGGCGCATTAGCCTTGATATTAACTGCCAGCGAGGGTTCTGGATGAAGCCATAAACCGCCCAGTATCCTAGTTAACTTCTTGGGTCTCGGCAGATCATCCGCAGGAGAGAGGTAGGATGAATGGGGCTGAGGAGGACTTGGGGAGGACTGTCTACAAGGGCGAAGGTGTCAGGAGTAAGAGTGGCTTGCTATCCTCTGGGTACCTCTTAGCTGGGAATGGGCACAGCCACTAGCCCCCGAGGCTGGCACACATCTGGTCTGATCTCCAAGCCTGTTTCCTTACCTCTCTCAAAGGCGTTTTTGATGTCATTCACTTCCACCTGGGATCCTGACACCCGGAAAATTCCTTCATGCTGTAGTCCTGGAAAGACAAGGAAAAGTGATCAAGGAGAAGAAGAAACCAAGTCACAAGCACAGCTCCAAGCTTCGCTGAATATCTATGTCCTCCAGCCAGTGTGCAGGTAAGTACCGGTCTCTCTTCTTCAGGCTGGAGGAGAAAGCATGTGCAGGCATGCTGGAGAAGTCACCAGAACGGATAGGAGGCATAAGAAAACACTGAGTCAGAGACTTAAGGGGAAAGAGGTCTTCTGATTCTGAGGAAGATTAGGAAGCTTGTTCCTTCCCCTGCCTTTGCCTCTCTGTTCCCATCTGTAAAGTGACAGAGTGACCCCTGGCACCTGGTCACCCAGGGCTGGGAACGGGAAGTAGGGGCATGGCAGGCCGGCCATCAGATACCATCGGAGGAGTCCCCGGTCTGAGACCCAGTGATTGCTTTGGCTTTTCGAACACCATCTGGCTCTTTCCAGGGCACACTGTTTTGAATCCTTAGGAAAGAGAGAGGACAGGAAAAGGCAAGTGGTCAAAAGACAGGAAAAGGAAAAGTGCCAGTCACTGGTCCTTGACTGCGGCCTGCATCCCCAATGTGCCTGGACATGATAATGGGCAGGAAAACCGAGTCCCTTTGGGTTTTGTTAAAGTACAAACAATCATAAAAATACAATGCATGTGCAGTGACTGCCGCTAAGAAATGCTTTCATAGAAATAAATCCACTGGTTCTCACAACAGCTACTAAGGGAGGGGTCACCAGCACATCCATTTCCCAGCTAAAGGAAGTGATGGGTGCTGACCAGCCTTAGGTTATAGAGGTGACAAGAACAAGAGCCAGGAGGTCAGCCCAGGCCTTCTGTTTGCAATCATGTACTCATCCTCGACACGAGACTTGTGGGGCCTGCCAGAGGCAAAGTACAGAGAGGGCAGGAACCTGCTTGTTAGTCTGAACACGGATATGGCTTACAACCCCATATGGGTAGCCACAGAGGTAGCAGGAGATCCAGGAAACATGCTGTTAGTGCTGGCCCATGGGTCAGACTTAACTACAGACTGAATCTGTAGCCAGATCGGGCTTGCCAGCCTTTCTCAGGATCCCTGTGTCCCCGTCTTGGGCATCCTGTCTAAGTTCCTATGTAATGGCGTGATTCATCAAAAACTTTGACCTATCAGGGAAATCTCAAACAAATTACTTTTTAAGAAAATAGAATCGCCCACTGTCTTCGGGCTATCCTCTCAGTGAGGGGGTGACTGGATTCTCAAAAGTCTAATGGAGAAGGTAAATCACACAGACCGGGACTACAATCTTGAATCCAATTGAAGCAATATTAAGAAGCAAGCAGGGGGAATTTAATTACCTGGCTTGTAATAGGACTTAAGTTGTCTGCTCCTCTAAGGGAATCTCCAGAATATTCCTCAGAGAATGGCAGGCAACGTTAAAACCCCATTAGTACCAATGTAATAATACCCTATTAGTTACCAATGGGATGTAACAGCTAAATAATGTCATTTAAACACAGAATGCAAACAGCAAGTGTTCTGACAGAAACAGTCACGTGCCCTGTTACTTGTCCAAAAACACAGCAGAGTCTAAGGAAATGTCATCTCAGGGACCAGCCTACTCAGTGTCCTTGGGGAAGCCAACAGTTGGCTGAGAAAGGATCACATCAGTCCTTTATAGTAGATTAGATCATTAACGAAAAGCCACCTTGGCCCACGGGCCTAGGATGGGAAGCGATCAGAGGAGAGCTAACTGGAAGTCAGGCAGCAGGCTCAAGACATACTGAGACCCCCTCGGGCTGGCGTTTCCCATTTCTCTTCGAGAACCTACGCTTTAGAAGGATCATGATGTTCTCGCTCAGCAGACAGAATTTTTTTTAAAGATTTTATTTATTTATTTATTTGACAGAGAGAGAGATCACAAGTAGGCAGAGCAGGCAGAGAGAGAGGGGGAAGCAGGCTCCCCGCCAAGCAGAAAGCCCCATGCGGGGCTCGATCCCAGGACCCTGAGATCATGACCTCATGAGATCATGGCTCAGTGGGTTAAAGCCTCTGCCTTTGGTTCAGGTCATCATTCCAGGGTCCTGGGATCGAGCCCCACATCAGGCTCTCTGCTCAGCAGGGAGCCTGCTTCCCCCTCCCACCCCCCCACCTGCCTTTCTGTCTACTTGTGATCTCTGTCTGTCAAATAAATAAAAATCTTAAAAAAAAATTTTTTTTTTAATCCGTTTACAGGTCTTTTGTCTTTAGACTTACAGCAGAGTATCACAACACTGCTTTCAAAAGTTACTTCGATTCCTTGCTTCCTCCTCTCCTCAGTGGGGCTATGCTAGTCATTTGCTCTGCAGTTGGGTTTATTTGTTAGTCTTTGTTTTCCACCTGGAGTTTCACCCACATCCTTGTTTTATTTATCTGTGTATCTATGTCTCAAATACGGGAAAAACGAATGCAGTTCTAAACGTCACAATTACACAAAAAACAATGTCCAGAGAAATGTCACTTCCCTCCCACTCCCACCGCCCCCACTCCTTTGTACCCCGTCTTGCACCCGTGTCCTGTGGATGAACAATTGAGTATTCGTTTCCAGACTCATCCTTCCTGCATTTCTTCTTGCCAAAGTGAGAAGACACACGTGCATTCTTTTATCTTCTTCCTTCTACATAAAAGGTAGCATGCTCTAGATATTCTTTCCCACTTTTCTTTTCTTTTCTTTTCTTTTTTTGCTTGATAACATGTTCCAGAAATCCCTCCACATAATTTCATGGAGATCACGCTCATTATTTTTTCCTAACTGCCTCGTATTCAGGTATAGTCGAGCTGATGTAACCACTCTTCTGTGTGACGGTACTGAGGTTGTTCTTTATATTTTCTACAAATGATGTTGCAACAAATCACCTCGAGCATATGGATCTTTGTAGTGTCGGAGGTGCATCTTCAGAGTAAATTCCTACAAGGACCGCTGGATCAGAAGATAAATGCATCAGTAGTTCTGTTAGGTATCGCCAGATTCCCCTCTGGAAGGGCTGTACTAGTCTGTAGTTCCACCAGCAATGTGGGAACACAACTGTTTCCCCAGAGCCACACCACGGAAATGTCCCTGCATGCACTGCACATGTGCAGGGCAGAGACGGGAATGTTGGAGCCATAGGATCTGGAAGCATCCCCTCCTCGGCTCCTCCAGAGCTATCCCTCTGGGCCTGGCCACAGTCATGTTGTGTCTTCCCTGGGCAGCTGCAGCCACCTCTTTCCTCCCATGGCCTTGTCTCCATCCAGCAGCTTTTTTTAAAGATTTTATTTATTTATCTGACAGAGAGAGATCACAAGTAGGCAGAGAGGTAGGCAGAGACAGAGGGGGAAGCAGGCTCCCTGCTGAGCAGAGAGCCCGATGTGGGACTCGATCCCAGGACCCTGAGATCATGACCTGAGCCGAAGGCAGAGGCTTAACCCACTGAGCCACTCAGGCACCCGAGCAGCTCTTTTTAAAGAGCCCTCTCTGTTTAGAATTCTCCAGGAGCTTCCTACCTCACTCAGAATAAAATCTGAACACCTCCCTTAGGTGAGGAAGCTCTAGGAGTCTGGCCTCTGGCTTGGTCTGCTGCCCCTCCCCTCTCCCCTCTCTTTGCTCTGGCCTCCAGGGCCTGCTGCATGCCAGCCCCTGCATTTGCCAGGGATCTCTGTACTTGATGTTCCCTCTCTCTGAAACACTCCTCCCAGATACCACGTGGCTCACTTCCTCACTTTTTTTCAGGACTCTACTCCGGTGTCACCCTCCAAGGTGACCTTAGGGCCTTTCCCTGACCAACCCACCTAGACCAGTGTCCCCTGTCCATTCTCTGGCTCTTTGCCTGTTTTTCTTCAGGACACTCCCTGTGTCATACAGTACATTACTGTGTTTATTTATTAGCTGACCAGCTGATCATCTATTTATCTGGCCTTCGGTAGAATATAAGGTTCACAGAGGCAGGAACTTTTTCTTGGCACACAATGAGCAATCTCTTTCTCTCTATAAATATGTTGGATGACCAAAGAGAGTGCACGGCAGAAAGAACAGGAGTTCAGACTCTCTTCTTCCTATTGTCCTTAAGACACAAATAATTTTTCCTCCCCAGAACTCAGAGGACTTATCTTTGCCAATTGCCTGATCATTAATCATTACTATCTTGTAAAATTTCTTATACTGCCATTCTGAATGGCTACTGCTTATCTCTTTTTATTTAGCTCTCCCACTGCTTATTTATTTTCTCCCAACTGCATCATAAGATCAAACAGAGACACAAACAGTGCACAATCCCTGTTTTTTGTTTTCCCATTTCACAATGCACAGCGCCCAGCACTGATCAGGGGCTTGATAAATATTTGTTGACTGTTGATATATGATGCTGTTACTTCAGGCGAATAGGGACAAGATGAAAAAATTGTAGCTGATTAGAATGAGATAAGCTGTAAGCATGCTAAAATAATTACTATTCCAAAAATGAACCCAAGTGATGTGTCAGCCTACTGGGAGGAAGGGAGAGAAAATGTCTACCCCTGCACGGACTCCAACGATCATCTCTGTACCTCTCTAGCTGCAAGAAGGTCATTCTGTCCCTTTTCCTATAACCAGATAAGACGGCAACCGAAAACAATTTCTGATGTCCAGTTCCTAGAAATCTTCACGCTGCTCGTTCAGATATCTGTGCCTCCTACACGCTCTTGACAATTAGAAGCTTGATTCTCTGGCCATTCCTCTCCATAGCTAGATTCTGTGCCAGCAGCCTGGGAGCTGGTGAAGAATGGAGTTTATGAGATCCAACTTCATGTAGGAGCAGAGAGTGTGATCCAAGCTTAGGCAGAGGACGAGCCAGGCCCCAAAGATTCTCATCTGTTGGCCACAACTTGAAGACCAACCACTCCTCACCGAGCACCAGCTGATGTTATATCCAGTGAGATCAAACCAGAACAAAACCCAAATGTTGTTAGGAATCGGTGCAACATCACGAAAGGAATAGTTCTCAGAACAGTCTAATGCAGAAAGCCAGTGTGACATAAGGACTCAGGCTGTATGGCGGGAGACTGACACGCACAAAGATGGTGAGTAATGGCGAAACCACTGTCACATTGTACCGGCTGTACTCACATCACGGTCGTAATTTAAAAGTCACTCTCAGGCTAGAAAAGGGAGTGTGGTTAAGTGGCTGAGGCATTTGGGGTCAAAACATGTGAAGCCTTTCTCTCAATGTCTAGGTGTGGCCATTCTGAGGTAACAAACATTACATGAACCAATAAGACTTTTATTCCGTTTCTGAGCATGTCAGGATGAAGAGTCGATCACTATTCTTACTCTGCAAAGAATTCCTGGAAGTTCTTCCCCACTCTGCACAAATATGGGCAAGACTGTAATCCTGCTTACCGTGTCTGCTGATAAACCGGATACAGCTTTCTACCACCAGAGGAATTGCCTGGCTGGAATCCTGAAAAGCCAAAGAGAAACATAACATCAGAATCTTTAAACAGCACAGCCAGAAAAAATGGGCCAGACCGTGAGGGACTTGTCTCGACTGATCAGCGGCCAGTCCTCAAAGAAGCGTCTGGTCTGTCCTCCAAGTTCCAAAGCACGTCCACAGCCACCCCTTTGGAATGCCACACGGATGCTGTAAACTCAGCACATCCTAAACGCGGCTGATCACCTTTCATCCCTAATCAGCTTCCCACCCTCAGCCACCCAAAATCCATCAATCAATATGTCCTGTCAAGTCTGCCTCCTACCGCTCAAATCCACTTCCTTCTCTCCATCTCTACTGCTAGCAATCCGGTCCATACAGCAGAATCTCAATTTCCACGCTTGCCGTCCTCCCAACCATCCTTCACGTAGCGGCTAGGTTATCTCTGAGAGCGCACACAACCCATCGCGCACTTTCTAGGCTAACTTCTTTCAAAGACTTCTCGTTAGTGTCTTTACACAGCCCTGCGTGTCCAGGGTCCTGCCTTTGCCTCCGGCTTCATCCCCTTCTGCTCTTCCTCTTGTCCCTCTGTTTCAGCCACACCGGCTTTCTTTCCATTCCTTAGATCAGTTCTTTGTCCATGGCTTTGCATGAGCTGCTCCTGCTTCCAGAATGCTCTCCTCACCCTGGGATCCCACCCCTTAGGGTCTCAGTGCAAGTATCACTTTCTTAGGAATGCTTTTCCAGACTTCCCAGATGAGATCAGGGCCCTTGTCTACAGGATCTCAGCACCTTGCGCTTGGCTCTCACAACCCTAATGGTGACTTAATAGTGTGAGTATGAATATCTTGCTTGCGTTTGCCACCACTATAGCTCACCCTTCACAGGGGAGATCCCATCAATTCTTGGCTCTCCACGACTGGCCATGATATTCTCACAAGGTAGGTGCTAATTAATATCAGTTGAGGATAGCACAATGAACCAAGGGGCACATCAGAAATGGGGTTTACGGGGTGCCTGGGTGGCTCAGTGGGTTAAGACTCTGCCTTCGGCTCAGGTCGTGATCTCAGGGTCCTGGGATCAAGCCCTACATCGGGCTCTCTGCTCAGCAGGGAGCCTGCTTCCCCCTCTCTCTGCCTGCCTCTCTGCCTACTTGGGATCTCTCTCTCTCTGTCAAATACATTAATAAAATCTTTAAAAAAAAGAAAAAGATAAAGAAAAAAAGAAATGGGGTTTACTTGGCATAAAAGATAAAAAGAAGAAAACCCAATTCTTAGAAACTGTGGAAACTAATTGGTACTAAACTAAGAAGCAGGCCTCCCAGATATCAACTTTTGCTCTGCCATTTTCCTACACGTTCCTGTCACTTACTTAACTTCTTTGGGCCTCAATTTGATGTCTGCCAGCTGGAGAGGGATGGGTGGTGATGAGAGTAGTATTTCCTACTGGCGCATGAACTTTAGTGCTTACCATTTACAGAGGAATTTATAAAGGTGGTGGGCGATATACTAGGGGCTTTAGATGGATCAGTCCTGGTAACAGTCCTGTAGGGTGTGTATTGTTATTCTCATTGGACAAAAGAGGAGATGAAGGCTTAGCAAGGTGAAACAGCTGCTTATAGTGACACAGGCAGTAAGTGGCAGGGCCAGGATCAAACACAGGCAGTCTCCTTCTGAGATTGCACATCTCGCTGTTACCTAGACTATATCCCAAGAGCTCAGCAAACACTATCAGGTATGTATACCCAGCCTGCATCCCTGGAGCTCAGCAAACATTACCCAATATGCATACCAAGCATTACTAAAAACCAGCAGGGTTTTATAATATAGCTAAACACAAAACAATTCAGCTATGGGGAAGAAAGGCATCAAACAAAGGGCCCTAAACCTAGCTAAAAAGGGCTGTAGAAGTTCAGAACAGGGCCACCTAGCTGATTCAATTGGTGGAGAGTGTGCCTCTTGATCCTGGGGTTTGGGTTCAAGCACCACATTGGATATAGAGATTACTTAAAAAAAATAAAATCTTGGGGCGCCTGGGTGGCTCAGCAGGTTAAGCCTCTGCCTTTGGCTCAGGTCATGGTCTCAGTGTCGTGGGATCGAGCCCCACATTGGGCTTTCTGTTCAGCAGGGAGCCTGCTTCCTCCTCTCTCTCTGCCTGCCTCTCTGCCTGATCTCTCTCTCTCTCTGTCAAATAAATAAATAAAATCTTAAAAAAAAATCTTTATTTTATTTTTTATTTTATTATTTTTTTTAGAGGGAGTGGGGAGAGAAAGAGAGAGAGAGAGAGAAGGAGAGAGAATATTAAGTAGGCGTCACACTCAGCCAGAGTCCAGAGTAAAACACTTAACTGACTGAGCCACCCAGGTGCCCCCCCAGCAAAATAAAATCTTAAAAATAAATAAATAAATAAAAGTTCAGGACAGAGACTGGTTCTCAAGCGGTATGGGTCCTGTGGCTTCTGCCCCTTTCACAGGTTTGCCTACATCCTCAAGTTTTCAGCTGTGGCCCTGGGGTTTGGCCAAGATAAGGGAAGGAGCTGGATTTAATGAAGAAATAGGCTGCTGGAAGCATGGCTTGGCCTCTTACTCCCAGGCTTACTGGGATTGCAGGACACTGCCAAAGGAAGGTGTGAGGATGCCCAAGTAGAGCAGGGCTCAGGAAGGTCTCAGAGGCCCAAAAGCTTGTCGTCATGACCCCCAAACCCGTCTGCCTCCTCCAGCTTTCCCACCATAGCAGCTGGTGTCTGCCCTCTTGTTGCCACCCCTGACTTCCACCAGTCAGCGCAGGGCGATCTGAGAGGAAGAATCTTCGTCAGCCCCTCCATACTCTGATGAAAAAACTGGGTTCCACCATTAAAAATCAATCAACCAATCAATCAATCTCCATTTTTTGGAGTTTTTTTTATGGTTACAAACACTGTTATTACATTTTTCTTTTCTTTTTTTTTTTTAAGAGTTTATTTATTTGAGACAGAAAGAGAGCACGAGCTGAGCAGAGAAGCAGAGGGAGAGGGAGAAGCAGACTCCCCACTGAGCAGGGAGCCCGACGTGGGGCTTGATCCCAGGACCCTGAGCCGAAGGCAGACGCTTAACTGACTGCACCACCCAGGCGCCCCATTATTGCAGTTTTCACTTCTAAAGAGTAGTGAGAGTGATAATGAGGTTAGTGATATGAGGGTTTGTAAAGGTTTTCTGGCCCCAGATCTGTATTTAGAGACCCAAAGAGAGGTAGGTTGGGAAGCTCATGGGTTACTGGCTTCAGCAAGTTATGGGACTGCCCAGTGCTGCCTAGACTTGCAGGAAATGGAGCATCGACGGTCAAGGGAAGCATGCAGCACTGCAGAGGGCAAGACACCGAGCCTGTCTGTCCATGGTTACCAGCGGTACGTCGCAAGTAGCCCAGAGGGTCAATCGGTGGCAGATAAGAGTGGGCCAGAGAAGGGCCCCACCACACAACATTATTTTCCTAGTCTCCACTGCTCCAGTGGAGCCTAGACAGAGTCTAGTGGGAGCAAAAACCGGACAATGTCATGAAGGCCTCAGACCCTCCCACCGCCCACCCCTATCCTTGTAATACTTCTGAGCACTGACTGAATTCATTTCCCCAGGATGTGCCTGTGTGCTCCCACGGGGCCCCAAAGACCCTCCCTTCATCACTGATCCTGACCCCAGCGTCCGTGTGTGCTCTCTTCCAGTGTCTGTCTCTCCCCTTCTTCCTCTCTCCTTCTCTTCTCCAGTGTTAGAATCTAATGTTTAATTCTTCAGTTTGCGATATATTTGGTGGTATAATCCTAGGGCTGGAAGGTGCCTTTAAGGACAATTGGGCCAAATCTCCACTGGACCAGATTAAGGGTCGTTTCAACCAAAGGCAGAGGGAGAAAGGTAGCAGGCATCCCTTGGAAAACAGTAAAGCAGGGGTCCTGTAATTTGTAGGAGAGAACAATCAGGAATGTGGCCAGATGGTGCCTAAATAAGCTATGGTTTGGCATAATTACTCCTGAGGGAGAGAGTTAGGATTTTTGCTGGGTACTGATCTCTATTACATTTGTTAGATTTCCATTTTACCAGGGGAGAAAATACAAGTCTACACGACCAATTAGATGTGGGTGATGGGAAAGAAAGAGGAGTCAAAGATAATACCCAGGGCTTTGGGAACGTGAGGAACAGAGCCTCCCCCCCACCCCCAACCATTAGTAGTAAAAGAGAAGTTAGGTGATGTGCTAAGGGAGTTAGAATGGGGTGGGGGGGTGAGACGGATGCTCTGGGGAGGAGGCACTATCTCAGCTCCCAAGCTCATGTCCAGCCGATCAGTTCGACATTCGATCCAAAGACTCAGAACAATGGACACTTGAATTAGGAGAGGAAGGTTCCTCTAAGGGAATGAAGCGAGAAGGGAAAGAATATGGAGAAAAGTCAAAAGGGCATCAAACCTTGGGAGCGCACCTACCCTTAGAGAAATGGAGAAAGATGACAAGGAAGAGGCGGAAGTGAGGGGAAAGAGAAAATGCTGGGCTGGAGGGTAGCAGGGAAAGCTGGGAAGAGGCGGCTGAGACAGAAAAGGCTGGGGTGGTTTGAACCCAGGCTTTGCTAAAGTCAAAACTGGAACCCATGAGGGACCCTGAAAAGCTACCAGATTCTTCGTCTTCTTTGGCTGACTTGCCATAAAAAAACCAAACAATTATTTATTTCCTTATACAAGACTGCTCATCTTCCAGACAACTATTTACCTGCCTGCCTAATGTAGAAAAACTCTTTACCAACCCACCATTAGATCTGAGCCGTTGCTGGGGTGGGAGGGATGGGGTGGCTGGGGGGTGGACACTGGGGAGGGTGTGAGCTATGCTGAGTGCTGTGAATTGTGTAAGACTGATGGTTCACAGACCTGTACCCTGAAACAAACACTACATTATATTTTCATTAAAAAATAATAGAATAAATTTAAAAAAAAATCTTAGCTGCTGGAGAGAAACTGGGGCAGCAGAATGGAAACAGGTCTTTATCTGATTGGGGTTTGGGGTGCATCCTGGACCTCTTACGCAAATCCAGTGCCAGGCACATAGGCTCCGCCTGCCACTGTGTAGACGTGGCAGGATGGCGCCAGATGGGTTCTGCTCCCCTCTGACAGCGCGCCCGGCCAGGGCCGCCTACTGCCCGCCAAACCGTGGTCTCCCGCACGTCCATGGCCACAGGGGAGGCTGGGAGGCCCCCGCACCTCGTACCTCTGTTCCAGCCATATGCAGGATGCCCAGTTTCAGCCCAGAAACTGAAACGAACAAACGCTAAGTTCAGCCCTATCCTTGGTGCCGAAGGAAAAAAAGCCGGCTCCCTCTTTAAAATATCCATCTATTAATTTAATTTTTTTTTGAAGATTTGTTTTAGAGAAAGAAAGAGTGCATGCTAGTGTGCATGCATGTGTGCAAGTGCGGGGGGAGGGGCAGAAGGAGAGGGAGAGAGGATCTTTAAGCAGACTCTCTGCTGAGCGTGGAGCCTGATGCGGGGCTCAATCCCACAGTGCTCAGATCATGACTTGAGCTGAAACCAAGAGGCGGGCACTCAACTGACTGAGCCATCCAGGCACCTGTCCATCTTTTAGTTTTAAATGCAACAGATTATCCTTGGAAGGCACTCCATTCTTCTCTGTTTTGTTTTTTTTTTTAAGATTTTATTTATTTATTTATTTGAGAGTGTGTGAGCAGGGAAGCGGGAGAAGAGGGAGAGGGAGAGGATCTCAAGCAGACTCCAAGCTGAGCAGGGACCCCAACGTGGGGCTCCATCTTGTGACCCTGAGAGCCTGAACTGAGTCAGATACTTAGCCAACTGAGCCACCCTGGTGCCCTCATTCTTCTCCAGTTTTAAATGAAATGATGGGCGAAGGAGCAGAAGAAAGAAATAGAGGAACCAGAGGAAGAAAAGATGCAATGAAATTTGTAAACTAAAAAATGTATAATTATATCTGATTACATTTATATGTAATTATATTTAATTATAAATTTTAAAATGTATAATTATATCACTACAATGAAATCCAAAGCAGGGACGTGGAAAAAAGAGTGACAGCAAAGCTAGGACAAGGGAGAGCTCTGCCATCCAAGTATCTGGCAGGGGTGCCCAGTTGGCAGAGCCGTCACCAGGGCTAAAGACGCTGTCAGGGCTGCTGACACAACAGAAGCCACGTGCCCTCTACATTCGATTATCTCCCTGTGGCTACAGCCACTGTAAATTACCCACAACGATTTTTTAAAGCCTGGATCGGTTCTCCCCCGCCCCCAGCAGACACAAAAGACACTGCGGAGCGCTCTCCCCCTCCTCCCTGCTAATGGCCTGCTACATAGCTGGTGTGAGCTTAGGGGACCCAAAATCATTTCAGTATTTGCGATAAAATATAATTAGGAAGTAAAATTTGCTGTTGCAGAAAATACTGTGATTATTTTTTTCTTTTGCACAGTCACAAGTACTGTTTAGACTATCCACTGATGTGCACTACCTGGCCCTGCCTTCCAAGCTCCTGCCCTGAGATCGGCAACGAGAGCTGGCTGACCAGCGTCAGGTTTTAGTACGACACCGAAGATCACACGCAAAAGCACAGAGCTAAGCATCAGGTGGGCCAATCATTCTCGGGCCAGATTTAGCTTCGCATTTTTAGCATGTTTAAGAGATGCAACAGGATGATCACAACTCCAATAGAACAAGAAAAAAATCTGCACACCTACAGCCATCTGGCATAGGTGTCTGACCTAGGTGACCAGCTGCTGGGAGCTACTCCCATTTGGAATTTAACTATAAAATGTGAGGCCCTTTTCACTGTGTCCTAGAGAAGCGACACAATGGGCATGTCTGGCACAATCTGCTAAGTCAAACCAAATCTCCAGCAAGCAGGAGGAGGGGGCACGACTAGGGAGGGAGGAATAAGTCAGGAAGACTCCATCCAGCTGAGCCGGCTACATCAATGAAGTCGCTGTGCTGTTAAACGCACTCTGACGGAATGGTATCTTCCAAACGCAGGCGGGAAGTCAGGAAAGTCTGTCCTGCCCACAGCAGGGTTCCACAAACACCTATGGGATGTGATCATCACACCCGACCAGCCTGGCTCTTGCTGGGCCCTTACCTGCTTCCTCACGGTGGAGCTACGCCTGTGGTTGACCCCGCCAAATCAGAGAGGACCGGACGGGCGCCAGGGAGAAAAAAAGAGAAAACGGGATTAAAAACAATCTGTGTGTTAATTAATGAAGCAAGCAGTATTATTCAGTTCAGTCCCAGAACCAGCTAAGAGACTTACCGAGTTACTTTCCAAATTAAGCCCAATAAGGCTGCTTCAGAACAGAGGTCTCTGTACTTACTACCTGCCACCATTCAAAACCAGACTAGGAAGGAACTAGTTCCATGTGCAGTAACATGTATCTGCATTGGACAGGAAGATTCTCTCTGTTTGCTGGAGACCCAAGGAAACACCAAAGGAAGCTATAGTTTTCTTTCTCTTGGAAATCCTTAGGGAGCAATTTTCCGAGTTTCAAGGACAGAGTAGCAGACTGGAAGGAACCTTGGCGATCCTTCATGTGACTGTCTTGCAAAGCTGCATGGAACTTTAGACACCTCTTCTCCGAGGGACCGAGACTCAGACACAATCTCCCCAAGCAAGGACAGCAGCGCAGCCTCGCCTTGGGTGACATGAAGGCCCAGAGCCTGGCTGCTGGGCTCCCACGGCCACTTCTGCCAGGTTCCTGAGGAACCTCTTTGGAATCCTAGAGCTCCTCGGATCTAGTGGAATGCCCTTTCTTGTCTCACAGATGAGGAAACTGGAGTTCCAAGGAGGGAAAAGAGCAGCCCACGGTCACCCACCCTAAGGGAATTCAACTCAGCTTTTTTTCACTCCCACAGAGCCTTCCCCAGATATGGGGCTTCAGGTGAACTTACATTAAGACTCTATCACCAAGACGATATTCATTCCATAGGATTCCATTATCCTGGTTCCCTCTAGTCAACAAGACTGGTATATTAATGGGATCTTTACTATAATCCACAATGACAAAACAATGAAAGCCAAATGAAGCTATTTCTAAATAATGAGCCTATAATTGTAAATGACCTCATGATTATTGTGTGTGTGTTGGCAGATATAAGTGGTTGACATAATGGGCTAACCCAGGGTCTCTCAGGAGTCCAGCCCATTAAAGCTCTCCCCAGTTAAATCAGCACATTTTTAGGCATCTGAGGACCGTTGGCTGGATGCATGCCTTGCTCTCCGCCAGCTCACGAGTTTTCTCAGAGCAGCTACATGACTGGGAGGGAAAATATTTGGCTGGGGTCGGGGAGGGAGGGGAAGGTGGGGAAAGACTGGGAGGGCTGCAAACTTGTACATCAGGCAAGGATTTCTACCAATGCTGTCTGGCAAGCCAGTGCAAAGTAGTATTTCATTATCCAGCAACAGTGAGGGGCTGTCATCTTTTCCATGCAGAAAAATCTGGGGTCAAACACTATCTTCTGATCTTCCTTCTCTGGGTCAGAGACGTCCCCAAACCACATGCTGTAATCCAGCAGCTAAGGGGAGGTTACCAGGTTCCTCCAGAGCCAAACACTTCTTTTCCTTGAAGACCTGATGGCTTTGGGGAAGCCTCTGAAACTACTTCAGCAAATGATAACTCCCTTCATCCCATTCTGCTCAGCTCTCGCCCCAAGTCACAGCAGACCCCCTTTCTATCTGAGGCCAGATGGGTTCGGCAGGCAAAGGAAAGGAAGCAGCCCCCGCCCTAGTCCCCTCCTTTGCACAGAAACCCAACGCCTTTGCATTTCAACTCCTCAGCTCCTTCCCACCTCGGGACCACTCTACCCCCATGGGCCTCTCTTCATCCCTCCCAGGGGCTGTCCCAGGCCACACCTACCTCGCCAGACTGCAATCTGTCCGCTGACCTGTTGGAAAGACAAAGGCAAAAAGCTCATGTGGAAGCAGAAGGAGAGAGAGACGAAGACTCACTCCCAGGAGTTAACTGAAATGCCCTCCCCTTCTCCCCAGAAAGCCTCTAGCCTCACGGAGTGACTGGCCTTCCAGGCAGAAAAGAAGAGAAACGCCCAGAGCCTCTTCCTGGGCAAATGCTGTTTCTCATGCTTGTTCCCAGTGCTGCTGCTATGTCCCTGACGCTTAGGTGTGCCAGCCCCGCTCCCCAAAGGGAAAACGGGGTGGCTGTAGGGGAACAACAGCAAGGCTGGATCATGTTTTAGAGAACAAATTACTAGAAGCCTTCCCAGGGGTGAAATCCGGCTTCTCTTCTGCGTATGTGGATGTGTGTGTGATGAGGGAGGGACGAGTTTGCTTGCTCCAGAGTAATGGACGGACACACACACACACACACACACACACACCACACATGGTGTGAGGGTGGCAAGGGAAAAAGGAAGAAGGAAGAAGTATTTGCGGGGAGGAGGGAGAAGATAAGAACCTTCTAGTTTTCAATCCATATGAAATTCTCTTAGGTTGGCCGGGGTGACAAGGGAGAAATGAGATTTAATTGCTATCAAATTTGTGGTTCTCAGTCCAACAGCAGGCCCTAATATTAAGTTTAATGGGTCACAGCCAGCTTTAAAAAAGGAAAATCTTAAAGTTCCTAAGAATCCTTATGTTTAAAAAAAAAACAAAACACATAGGCATATGCATATGGGCCACGATGTGATCTGTTTGCTTTCAGTTCACCAAGCGTGGTCTGCGTTCGATAAACCAGGGGCAACGCGAGCCGGTGCTGAGCTGGGAGATCATCCCCCACCGGCCTCCTCCACGCTCCTGGAAAAACAACTCCAAGGACCGGGGTGGGGGGTGGTGAGGAAGGGCTTTTGCTTGCCTTTAAAGGTTGCTAATTGTCTATTACACTTCGGCGCATCCTGAGCAACATCCTCCCCCTCCCCTAACAGCCTCTCATTACTAACAGCTCCGCTTTCATCTGCGAAAATATTATTCCGAGCCTTTATTTTCAACATCTGTCCCATTTCCATTCTGGAATACTCACACACATCAATTATCCCTCTGTGGCAAGAACAAGGGGCTCTCGCATTACGGTGACAAATACATTCAGAAGGTGGGCCGCGATGACTTGCACACGGGAAGGTCTGCGGCTATTTCTTTCCTTACTGCTCGAGCTTGTCATCTTTAGATGAAGGCAATTTGCAGCACTAATGAATGGACACCAACCTTCGCCCCTCCGCAGTAGCAAATCTGGTACATGTTTGTGTGTGCGCAAACCCACTCACTCTCACGCGTGCGCGCGCGCACGCGCACACACACACACACACACACACTCCCAAGGCCCTGTTCCCCATTTCACTTATGAGCTATGCTCAGATTGTTTTAGCCAAAAAAAAAAAAAAAATTGGTTAGAACTTGCTTCAAATAGTTCTGGGCTTTCTTTCCTCCGATACCCTATGAAGCAATCTGATAACCCAAGAGTGAAGATTTTTCTGTAAGAAAAGCTGGGCTCCCAACACCCAAACCTGTTCAGCCTGAGTCCCTTGGGTGGCAGGGAGGAAAGAGAACAGAAGTGACCTAACAGGCATTCTTCACCTAAAAGAAAATGCCTCTACAATCACGGGATCAAAGATATCAGAGATAAAAAGAATTCAGCATCTGGGGGAACCGTCCAGCGCGGGAGGAGGATCGGACGGGACGAGCAGGTGGGAGGCTCTGGTGTGACAAGTGTGGCTCTCATTCCTGACGCCAATGAGCCAGCAAGTACCCCCATACTTCTCTTCACTCTGCAGTTTGTCCGAAAAGCACTCAAGAGTTCGTTTTACGTGAGCCTTCTCTGCTGGTTTGCCTCCCGCCAGTGCTGCCATACACTGCTGTCGCCTCCTGTCCCCGTCTCAGAGTGGAGAGATGAGCAGGGCAGGGAGGAGGGGCAGGCACTCAGAGGCATCCCCAATCTGGGAACCCCATTAGTCACAGGATGCTGAGAGCTAGGCAGGACCCGGGCAGGATGCCCAAAACCCCAGGGAAGCTTCTCTCTGAACCTTCGCCTTCTGTTTGACAGCTGAGGAGACAAAGTCCAGAGTGCCAGTCCCGTTCCCTGCTCTGCTACTTTCCAGGGTCTGGGTAAAATCATCCTTGATTCCTGGACGAGACAGGCCGTTCAGTACCACGGCCTCAGCGCGGCCACGGCAGACAGCGCTGCCGCTGAGCAGCAGGACCCTCCCAAGCGGAAAGAAAGCGCTGCTCTACACAGGCGCCTGGGGGTCAGGCCTGCCTTCGAGAAGCCTCTCTTCTCCTCGGAGCCAGCCGATGCTGTCCCGGCTCGCCGGCCCTGCCCGCCGGCTGTCGCCTCGGTCCCGCTCCAGAGGAGCTGAGAGTTTCCACAAAGTGTCTGGAGGGTAAGGGACCCATCGGCTCCTGTACCCCAGCTGTGGCAGAGACGGGGGCCGGGGGAGAGCAAGCACGCGCCATTTAAACCAATGGATGGTGCACATCAGCGCTTCATTAAGCACTGGCCTCCTCCCATTACTCAAGCAGTCACTGGGGCAGCGACTTCCCATCAAACAGGCTAGGAGAAGCAATGCATTCACATAACAAGCTCAGGCCCACGGGGCTCAGGATGCAGGCTCAGCCAGGTAGCTCGGGGCCTGGCCTTCCCCTCATTGCCAAACCTCCAGCCGAATTCCCACACTCACTTTCTCCCAGGGTTTTCTGGAGAAGGTCGTGCTTGGCTTGTAGCTTGGTGATGAGGTTCCTGCCCTCCAGGTACTCCTTCATTTTCTGTAAGGGAGGAAGAAAAGGAGCGGTCAGACTCCTGAAGAAGCAGCAGCAGGAGGAAAAAAAAAAAATCACAGATGCTCAGCTGTACAATTTCCTTTTTACAAGAGAGCATTTCATTTCGGACCCGATTTCTACTAGGTGCCTTTTTTATCTCTTTATTTCTACTCAGGTCCTGAGCATCTGGACGGCTGCTGATTTCCAGGATGCCTGAGTCGCCTGCCTTGTGTTCTCTGGGGAGCGAGCTCCATGCAGGCCAGTCCCAAACCGTCTCCTAGAGCCCCTCAGCCATCCCTTCCGGTTCCCCCGAAGAACAGGGGGCCAGGCGTGGAGTGTAGGGACTCACCGAGCCCAGATCCTCTTGGTGTGAGGACACACACCTGCCACTTGTCACCTCCGCCGATATCCTGCCACACCCTGGCCCCTCCCCGGGGTGCATTATAGCACATCACGACCGATGCCAAGGGCTGCGACCCAGCACGCACAGCATCTCCGTCTGAGCTCTCTCTTACTCGGCTCCCTCCTCTCTTCTGCACGGAGTCTTGGCAGAGAGCTTGGGATTTCTGAGCATTTGGAGAGAGAGGCTGCGGCCCCCCACCCCGCATATACATGTAATGGCAGTTCTCAACACAAGACAAGGTGATGGAAACGCGCTCCCAGCTGTTCCACCCGTCAAAACACCATCGCTGTGCAGCATTTTCTGATCTGACCTCTCTCAGCCCTCATCTGCCCCGGGAGGGACTCGATTTCCCTGGACAAGTCATCAAATCTTCAAAATAACCCTACGAACTCGGATTAGCACGTCCCCATTTAACGGATGAGGGCACCAAGACTTGGAGAGATTAAACAGGTTGCTCGAGGTCAAACAGTGAGTGAGCGGCAGAGTCAAGTTTCCAGACACAGGTCGTTTGACAATTAGGTGCGTGCGCTCAACCGACAGGACCGCACACTCCATCCGCCAGGGTGCCCGGCAGAAGGAGGAGCAGAATAAAACTTCAGAGTATTAATTCTTTATATACGCAAAGCAGTTCAGGAGTTTGCAGAGCCCCTTAGCATATACTGTCCCACGTGACTCCGCAGAGCACATTAGGGAAGACAACATCGCTGGCTGCTCGCTACAGACGAGAAGATGACCTTGGGAGACGGGGGCTAAACTGCAGGTCTCTGCCAGCTAGGAAATGGGAGTGCCAGGCCATTTTGAGCCTTGACACGGTGTCTTTCTACACTACCCTGCAGTCATTCACAGGGACCATCATTCACCCTGGTTGTCTCCTTATACAATGGCTCGTGTCTGCTGGGCTGGGGGTCATCTGCCCACGTCTAAACTCAGAGGCAAACTGGCAGTGTTGCCCCGGGTATGATCCGCGACTCACTGGGGACACATGACATAGTGGAGGAGGGAAAGTGGATAAAACATTTCAAATTGTAATACTTCTGTCCTTCTTTCGATGTATTAAGCAAAAAGGATAATTATACATCAAGTGTCTGATTTTATGGCTATTACCACACAGGATGAAGGCAGGAAAGAAAGGTGAGAAAAATATGAGTTACTTTTGCTCTGTACCTTTCTGTACAGTGTAAAATTTTAACCAAGAGTGTGTTATTTCTTCTCTCTCTTCCTCATGCAAAAACAAAGAAAAAGCCTGCCTTCTCGGGGATGCACATCCTGGCTTTCCCATGCTCCCCGGGTGCCCCTGCGTGTACCTCTGCAAATTGCACACGGCCCGGGCACAGACGGCTTCCACGTCATGTGTCTTCCTCTCCAGAGTGCCTTTTCCCTAAGGTCAGAGTCATTATTCTTTGCATCCCTGATGCTTAGTACCATGCCCAGCTGACAGTAGACATTCAATAAATGCTTGAAGAATGAGGAAAGACACGAACAGTCTCATTCTCCTCTGAGAGAACCTTCCTCAGTGGTCACAATCCAAGCCCTCAAGTGTAGCCCTACTCTCTCAATTAAGTCTAAAGCAAACAAAAACAAACCCTATACCAAATCATTTCTGTTGCTTTACTTCTGACCTGTTCCCTCTGCTCCTTTGTGCCTGTGCACGAGAACATCTGTGTGACAACAAGACTCCCTTGTCACCTTCCCCTTTCCATCTGCTCCAGCTGCCCGCTCACCTGCTGTCGGTCTTTCCTGGGTGACAGCCTAATCCCCACCCAGTGCCTAAATGTGGGGCTGGGAACAGCACGGCAGGGCCCAGAGGTGGAAAACATTCAGGAAACATCTATTGCTAACATCTCAACCCTCAAAGGCCCCTCTTCGGAAGGTTACCCCAGGAGAATCTAAAGGTTTCCTAATGAGGAAAAAAAAACTCACCAAGAAAATTGTAACCCTTAAGACAAGAACAGACTGCTCAGAAAACAGCCAATATTCTCAAAGGAGATGGATGCAAATTCCTTCCTCTCACTCATGTTTCTACTTGTGATTCCGGAAATGAATTTTTCATTCATGTCACAGTTGGAGAGTTAACTCTGGCTGTCACTTGGCGAACCATTAAAATAAATAATAATCTGATAAAGATGTATGATGGGTCACCTTTCCAGGTCCCCTGAAATCCTGAAGGATCAAAAAGGATCCCTAAGAGCAGAAATAATGGTTGGAAGTTTTCCATCTAGGTAAGCAGGCGGTGGGAGGGAAAAGCCATCCCGGAGTTCACAGGCATATTGTCACCTCCCTCTCCCTCCTGTTAGTCAGCCCTGGTCTGTATGAAACAGAAGCTGGGGGAAACGACCTGGCCTTTACTGGCAGAAGACCTTGGTTGCTGACTGGATAGAAAGGAGCCAAGGCAGCTGAAGGCAAGGAAGGCACAAGCGGCTTTCTGATGACTTCTGGAGACCAGCAGGCCATGAAAAGAACTGCTGGGGCGCCTGGGTGGCTCAGTTGGTTAAGCAACTGCCTTCGGCTCAGGTCCTGATCTCAGGGTCCTGCAATCGAGCCCCACATCGGGCTCTCTGCTCAGCAGGGAGCCTGCTTCCCCCCCTCTCTCTCTGCCTGCCTGTCTGCCTACTTGTGATTTCTCTGTCAAATAAATACATAAAATCTTAAAAAAATAAAAAAGTAGGAAGGGAGGCAAAGAGTCTACTGAGTGGTTTGGTTCTGTTTGCCACTAGAAGCCTTCAATTCGGTTTTATGATCTCATTAATTTACTTCTTAACAATTCCTAACTGATTATTAACTGCTGGTGATGAATTTTATTTATTGAAAAGTATTAATGGAACAGTTTTTCTCTCAGGGCCTTCCTCCCTGACAGACACTTCGTTGCAGCAAAATGAAAGAGCCTTAGTTGAGAAACTGTAGTCCTACCGCTTACCTTGGGCGAGTCACTTACCCCCCATCTGAAGAACCGGGATAATGGTATCTTTCCCCCAGGGCTGTTAGCAGACGGAACAGGATGACAAGCGTGGCCATGATTATAGCTCACAATCCAGACAACCAGCAGGCAGTCAGGAGGATCCCTTCCTTGTATCTGAATCACCCACTCAGATAGCCTAAAAACACAACTTCGCCAAACCTCTTTGCTTTGTGTTAATATATAAGACAGTGGAATCAAAACAGGTTTCTGATCTTCAGAACAAAAAAGTAAGAGGCACCAAGAATGTTTTTCCAATTAATTTAAAATACGTCTTCCCTTTAGTATGATGGAAGTATAAATCTCATGGGCCCTGTCTATGCCTTGGATTTTTAAAAAATATTATTTATTTGAGAGAGAGAGAGAGAGCGCATGAGCAGGGAGAGGGAAAGGCAGACCCCCTGCTGAGCAAGGAGCCGATGTGGGACTCAATCCCAGGACCCCGAGATCCTGACCTGAGCCGAAGACAGACGCTCAGCCGACTGAGCCACCCAGGTGCCCTCTGCCTTGGATTTAATCTGTGTGAACTGAAGGCCATAAACACCCCTGCTACAAAGGGGTGTGGTGGGTGGGAGGAGGGAGCCGTGTTGAGCCGGCCCCATGCACGAGACACACGAATGTCATTATGGGGTGGCTGCTTCCCCGCCATCCAGGCACCCTGACATTTCTCTCCTCTTCATCAGTTTGTAAAGCAGGAAACGGCTGTCAGACAGAGTACCTAACAGAGCAGACCTGTAAAACGGCAGGCATCTCCCTCTTTAACTGACAGGGTAGGGGCTCAGTAAGGACCTACTTAGCACACAGTTCCTGAGTGCCTTTAGGAGAGGACCAAGATAAAAAAAAAGATCTTGGACCACACCAGATCTAGGTCTAGAGCACTGCCCCAATGGCCAAGATATCATCTTCTCTCCTGTGTTCTTACCAATTTTGTGCTCAAGAATTCAGGTAGTTTATCTTTATCAGCCATGACCTTTAACTCCTTCTTCACTCCTTCCCCCATATAAGAACCCCATAACAACCCCCCTACAGGGAAATACTTAGGAGAAATGCCAGCCTTATAAATGCCAGCCTTATAAGGCTTTGACAGTCCTGGGCTAAACAGGGAGTGTTACTTCCCACGAGCTGGGAACTGGTTAAATAAAAATGATGGTGAACCCATTCATACAGTGGAATTCTGTGCAGCAATCTAAAAAGGAGGCAGAGCTCTTTGGACTAATATGAAAAAAATTAAGTGAAAAAAGCAAAGTGAAGAATAGTATGAGTTGGGCTACTTCTATTTATACTTCTCTTTATTTGATTTCATTGTATTTCTAATGTAATTCTATCACATTAAAGGATAAGTCAATGGTTGTCTACACAGAGACTATCTCTGGAAGAACACAGAAGAAACCAGTTTCAATCCCTGGCAGAGGGGAGAGGAAGTGAGGGCCAGAGAAGGGGAGGAAGCATGACTTGTTCTGTATGCTGTTTTGAACTCTTTGCATCTCCCCAAATATATATATATATTTTTTTATTTATATATTTTATATATAAATATATTTTAATATATATTATATATTTTATTTTATATTTTATATATTTTTATATATTTTATATTATATATATTTTATATTTTGATATATTACATATTTATATATAATATATATTTTTAATATTTTATATGTTTTATATAATTTTATATTTTATTTATATGTATTTTATATTTTATTTATATATATATTCTATATATATTTTTAATTTCCTTATTTTTAACAATCACAGTAAAAAAAAAAAAGCAATGAGATAAAAAGTAGACACTGCTGGGTTGTGTGTTATAAAAGATGAGTGATGCAAAGCCCAGAAGATCAGGAAACATCACCTCACTTAGGGCAAGAGAGAGGAGAAAACTGGGCTGTTTCTGAGCCTTTCTTTTACCTCAGCTTCTTCAGCAGAGAGGACAGAAAGAAGCCAATGGCCTGAGACCAGCTGACCAGAGTTTCAGTTTTATTTATTTACCTATTTAGAGAACATGTACGTGTGTGGTGGGGGAGGTGGTGGGGGGCAGCCAGTGGTGCAGAGGGAGAGAATTCTAAAGAGGCTTCACACTCAGCGTGGAGCCTGTCAAGGGGCTTAATCCTGTGATCCTGAGATCAGGACCTGAACTGAAATCAAGAGTTGGACGCTTAACTGATGTAAGCCACCCAGGCACCCCACCCCTCCGAGTTCTAGCTTCAGCTCTTACTGAGTCCCTTGGAACAGCTACCCAACTTCTCTGGATTGGGGGGTTTTAGTTTTGTTTTGTTTTGTTTTTCATCTTTCAAATGAGAGTGGTTAGATGATTTCTAAAAATCACTATAAGTTTTTAAATTCCATGTTTACTTTCTTGGGACTCCTGCAAATGACCGACCTTTATAGGATGTGCTTAAATTTCCAATCAATGTCCTCTGGGCAGATCAATTTGATGACAGCCGAGAATGGCTAGACAGCTTTCTAGCAGCCCTCTGGGTTGCTAGGCACACTACCTACAAGTCAAAGCCATGGTAAGGGACCTCTTCCCAACTTTCCAAGGGAAGGGAGCTTCTAGGATGCTCTACAAACGTCCTAAAAATCCTAAAAATCCTAAAAATGTTTCTGAAGGACACAGAAAAAACCAGGGGCGACGTCTGTGGAGGCAGCAGACGAGGAAAAGCACATCTACAGTTCTGCGGGCTTCGTACAGTGTGGCAAGCACAGGCAGTCATGCTAATATGCACCCCCTCCTTATTTAAATGTCCATTTTGCCACCCCCCAAAAAGCCCTTTTATCATGAAATGAATTATTTGGTGCATTCCCAGCACCAGTCACAAAAATGATGAACTCTCTTATACATCGATTACTACAGAAGCCCAGACAAAAAAACGCTCCTGTTAGCCATGGAAATTTGGACATAATTTTGATAAGTAGGCCCTCCAGCCACAAAAGACAGGAAGTGGACTAGGAGCGAAAGGGTGGGCAGGATTTGAGGTCATCGGTTTGGATATGGTCATCCCTGCTCTTATTAAGGGTCAACTTTGAACACATGTCATTGCTTCACTGAAAGCCAGAAAGTAATTCTGACAGTCTTAAATACAGATTTTTATGTCAAAATTTCTTATGTAATAAGAAAAATGGAAATCTGCTGCAATATGAGATTGGGTCATTAAGCAGTGTTATATCTAAGCAGTGCAGACAGACCAGCCAAACAATCCTATTATTAAAAGCCTCTAGAGTGTTCAACAACCTCCCGAGATAAGAAAGCTTGGGGTGGCCAGACAGCCCTCATGATAAACAAGAAGTTCTCGTTCTGTCTAGCCCGGGCTTTACATGCCTTTATGCTTTGTATAGACTGCTCTTTTCTCAAGGAATGCCATTCTCTGCTTGATTCACTGCCTGGTTCACTCATCCTTCAAGGTCAAGCACAAAAGTCACTTTGTATGAGATGTTTCGCCAACTCCACCCATCCTGGCCATCATTCATGCGCATATGCACGTAGCTGAAAATTTTCATATTTATTTCTTTGATTGCAAAAATCAACCTATTTTAACTGTTTTGAAACATACAAAGTGAAAACGGAGGTTCTCCCTTCGGATGCCTAATCCCATCATTCCCCTCTGCACCCCACACTCCCGGCATTCCAAGCTTTAGCACCATGTTTAGCACAAAGAAGATCCTTGATAAGTTATCGATGAGTAATTCAATAATGATTAATGAATAAGTTAATAATGACTGTAGTGACAATAAATTTTCAGCACTTAATGAGCACTCTGTACAGACCAGGCAGTGTGCTAAATATTTTACAAAAAGGATGAATGGGACAAAATATCATTCCCTTATTTCTCTGTGTAGATTTTAGTATTTCACTCATAAAATATTTAAGAATGTTATGATGAAATGAACTGGGAAAATACTAATCATTTATTAAATGAAAGCAGATTATAAAGCAGCGTGCATAGCCAACATCCCACTTTTTGTAACACATTCTAAATACATATTCACGGAGATGTTTGTCTGCGCAGAGAAAAAAACCAGGAAGGGTATACACTCTAATACTGTTATCTCAAGGTAGTGCAATTATGGATGATTCTTATTTTCTTCCTTTTTGTTTCTAAACTAATATCATATGGATGTTTTACCTCATATAACAAGAAAAAAGTCATTTTAAAAGAATAATACTGCTAAATCACTCCTTTTCAACAGTCTCTTCCAAGATTTAAAAAAAAAAAAATCTGAAGAATTCTTAGTTTTAATTAAAAATAAGATTTCTTTTTTTAGAAAACATAGCAAATCGCTAGTGTTCTTAATGGAGAAAGGGCAATGTTCAAAGAAGAATTAAACAAATTGTTCCAGTTGGGAGGAAAAATTCAATTTACTGCATGCAGATTGTGTTTCTTGACTAAAAAACAAGTTAATCCCTCTCATTCAGAATCAGTTTGCACATTCACCAGCTATATTTCATCTCACATCTGCAAATTTAATTTCTCCTTTCTTGGTTGTCAGAAGATGAGAAAATAAATTTTAGTCCAGGCAATGAATCCTACTTGGCAAGCTCAAAATAACTTAATTATTAAAAAAGCAGCACAAAAGACCAGCCAGCAACCTTCCAAAGGACTGTTAATACAACCTGAAAATAATCGGGTCCGTTTGTCTAAGAGAAGAGTGGGATATACACAGATAAGAAAATACAGTGTTTTGGAATCCTCTGGAAACCAATGACACTGCACACGACCTGTCCTTCTGAATTTTAGTCTTTTTTGTGAAAGATAATTTCCCATCAGCAAAAATTATAAAATAATGTCATCCCATCACCTAGAAGAGATTATCAACTTTAGAAATAAGATATGTGTTAGCCAGAATACATTGGATATAGTTCCCAAGACCTAAGAAATAAAGATCTCCTTTCATGATCCCCCATGGCCGAGAAGGAAACTTTCCAACAGAAGCCTACTAGCTGGTTAATAAAAATTCTTAAAAAAAGAAAAGAAAAGAAAAAAAAAAGAAAAGAAAAGTCTTCTGGGGCAAGGGAAAAAAAAGGAAAAGAAATCTTCCTGGCAGTGTACTTGGGAGCACCTTTCTCTTGGGGGATCCCTGTTTGATACCTACAACTTAGAGATATCTGTGTCTTAATTGAAGTTGAGGAACGGTCTCTGAATATGCCCAGATCCAAATTAAGATACTCAAAGTCTGCCCTTCCAAGACTCGACCAGGACTCCGGGTTCCAAGTCTCCCTGTGGGCTGCAGGTGCTCGTCGAGAGCCATCAAGCCCCCTCACCGTGAAATAGAACTGCTCGGTCTCTTGCTGGTTGGCTCTCCTCTTAGCAATGCTGGGCTTGCTCATGAAGGTTTCTGAGACCGTGGACTTGACGGATTCCATAGAGTTGCTGTATTGGAAGCAGTCGGACACGTCAAAATCCTCAACAGTCACAATGTCCTGGATGGTCTGGAGAGTGGCTTCCATCGTCTTTTTTACCTGCCATGACAAGAGTCAATGTAACGCATGAGGGACAGGTAAGGGAGAAGTTGGGAGGAGTGGGAGAGGAGGGGCTGGAGGGGACTGGGGGGCTGCTGTCAGAAGGTGCAGCTCTGCTTCCCATCGGACGGTGCTGAGACAGTGACCACCATCACACGGACTCTGCTCTACAGTGCTCCTCTTTTTACAGAAGACCTAAAACCATCCCCCTCCTCAGGCTCTGTATATGACCCAGCTCTTTTATTTAATGTTGACTTTTTAAGTTTAATAATCGCTCTGGGCTTATAATGGAAGTGCTAACGGGGAGAATAAAATAAATCCAAACCAACGTCATGATGTAAAGAGCTGGTTAAAATGTGAGATGGGTCTGGCCCCACCATGCCCCATGCTCTGCTTCATGACCTTCAGCAAATCACTGGATTGGTTGTCCCATTGGCCAATGAAGTGACCCACCTCCCAGTCCTTCCTGATTCTCCTGGGAAGAGTAAGACTGAGATGCCAGGTAAGAAGTCTCCGGAGCACAAAAGAAAGAAGCTGGACAATTAATCACACTGCCCTTTTGAACTAGCTGTTGAAAGCAAGGATGCTGGGCGCAGAAGAAAGTCCCCCTTTTCTAAGAGGATGGAGATGTTTTAAGTGTCAAAGTCAAAGGCCTCTGTTTGTTTGAAAATGCTGGAAAAAGCCAGGCAAGAGGGGGTGGTTTCAGAGACACAATATTGTTCACACAGCTGCCAAGTGCCATTTTGATTAAATGTGTAGAGGGGAAAAAAAAAAAAAGCATTTCGCAAAAGCTCAAAATAGAGCTCAACCTTTGGCAATGCAAGAGCAACTTCCTGGAGTTCAAGGGCAGGATGTAGCAGAGGGGGAAAATCCAAGGCTACACTTGGCTAGGAAATGTTTGCGGCAGCCCGGACATTCTCTGCATGCTCCTTCCACCTGCTCCCAGATGGGCAGCAAGAAAGAGGTTCAACAGGGAGTCTCCTAAGCAGGAAACTCACCTCCTCGTTCTCAATCTTCAGAGTGGACAGGCGGGACTGCAGTTGCTGGCATCTCTGGACCAGCTCACTCTGGACAGGCTGCTGGGCACACAGCTGGGAAGCCTGCCAAAAGAAAGCAACACCAGGTCAGGAAGAGGACACAGTTCTTCTGGCGGTTCCAGAGTCCCATTACTACTAATAAAAGTACTCATGTTCAAGCTGGAAGCCTCATGGTTTCTCTGTGAAAACAAAAACCCCAAGGCGGCATGTGTGAACTTCTGCCAGGACCAAAGAGCACAAGGAGGGACTGAGAAGTGGGACCTGTTTGGAAAGACCAGGTCCCTCCATATGGGGCCCATCCCCAGGCTGGTGCCTGGTGGGCTCTGCGGCTCCGAAAAAGCCAGCGCTGGGCCAGAGCAGGGTGCTCGGGCAGCCCCAGCGCCACAGACACAATGCTTTGGCAGGGAGGGTTTCCTGCCAGGAGTCCGAGTGGCCACCTCTCCGGCCCCTCCTTCATTCCCCTTCATGTACGAGAGTGAAAGCAGCAGAGAAGTGGGTCAGGAGGCTAGCTTCCGCTGCTGGCACCCAGCATGTGTTTATAAATCTGGGCCATGCATGAGAGCTCTGACTCAACGAGAGAAAGTGTAAAGCCAGGAGGAGGTCCACGGGCTGTGCTCGAGGGCCCCAGAGGGCACAGAATCTTGTGGAACTTGGCACTTTCCAAGAGCCAACCTTCTGCCCCAGGTTCATACCAGATCTGTGTAGGAGAGGAGTCTGCCCTTCCCCTAAGAACTGCAGTCCACGAGCTTTTCCTTCACTGAAAAGATGGCTGAGCCACCATCTCCCGATGGGGGCATGGCTGTGGCATGGGCACGAGATCACCCACAGTCTCCAGGATGACAGATGAGGAACAGAAGGCTGGCATATTAGGAGGCAGGACCCACATGGAGGCAGCTCCTGTCACCTTGCCACCACGTGTCCCTTCGCCTCTTGTCTGCAGAGAGACATCTGGATAGAACCAGTCTCCCTCTTCCTCAGCAATGAGTGGGCACATTCACATGCCCACAGACCATTCTCTTGCTTGGAAGACAAAACCTCTCTTCAAAAAGAGTGGGCTGGGACTTGACCTTTTCCTCCATTGGCTTTTAAGCTCCCAACTGACTTGACCTCCTCCCCCAGCTGAGGGGCTGGCTCTCAGATCTGAAGAGAGCTGACTTCACTCTGGCTCTTGGATAAGCAGACACAATGGAGAGAGCTCAGTGGCCAGGATGGGTTAGAGCCAAGAGTGAAACTCTCTGGCTGCCTGATGTCACTGGTCAGGCATCCAGAGCCCCACAAGCCTCTGGGGGCACCAAGGGTAGAGCCAAGCCCCTCCTCCTAGTACATCTGAGAGTGCTTGGCATCCACTCTCTGCCGAGCCCCAGAACACCCGTCAGTGTGGGGCCTTGGCCAATTTCAGGGCTTCCGGTCAAAATGCCACCCGAACCTTGGCCCTAGTTCAAGGACTTCCAGGCAGTTCCCTCTTGTTGCCTCCATAGTCTACAGCCAGCCCACACCGGTGGGGATAGACAGGCTGTGGGGACCAAGATAAACTTGCCTTCTCATCTCTTTTTCTTTTCTATTCCTAGGAAGGCTGGGCTGGAACGCAGAACCTTTGCAAGATCTAGGGCTGACCCTGGCCCCTGCCTGGCTCTGTGGCTGGTCAGCTGTATCACAGGGAGGGAGGGCCGAGGCCAGAGAGTGAACTACTGATTTTAAAGCAACCTAGACCTAGCAGGGAGGACCCACGGAGGGAAAACGGACCTCCATGCCTGTGCCTTTAAGAAGCAGCAGGGCTGCTGATGCATGCCTTGGCAGAGGTCCTTTACCGGGGTGCACGGTAATGTGTTCCAGCTGTGCTCCGCGGTAGGAAACCGAGGCACTGACAAGGCTACGAGGGGGCCCGAGCACCCAGCATTCGGATTTTCCCTTTATGGAGACAAGCTGTTTGGCTCCGAAGGCAACTCAGTCAACACCAGAAAATGTATCACTCCGCTCAGCTGGTCCCAGAGTTCCACTGATTTTTGGGAAGGAATGTCAGTGGCAATCGGAGGAGGGGACTGGAAGACAAGTTGGACCAGAAGCCAGGGCAGGTGAGGAATGGGGCTTCCTGGGGCTCGGTGGCACCCCCCCACACACACACACCTCTGACTGCACGCTCTGCCATTTCACTTCCCCATCTGTTCAGACACTGACATTTCCTAAGTCACAGAAATGGAAACTGTGCATGGTTTGGTTTTCCCTGAGGAGCGGAAAGAAATCATCTCTACATTTTTGTCTTTAGAATAGAAATGTCCCATACTCCACTGTGGAGTATCGATGACAGCGAATCCTCTAGTAACACTGACAACAGTTGTCATTCTGGGACAGGGTTTTCTGAAAAGCGTCTGGATACTAATCCTGTTGGATATACTATTTCCTTGTTGAGAGGACATGATTGTTTTTCAGTCACCACACATCCCTTCCTCCTTCTTCTGGCAACTCTGGCCTGACTAGCTTCTGGGGGAACCTCCCACCCCACAACTCAGGTCACGCATTTTGGAAGAGGCTCTCTCCGACTCCGGGATGGAGCACGTGACTTAGGCATTAGCCAATCAGCCAACTGCAGACACGGAGCCACAATCAGTGGCTCAGGGATAAACACATCAGCCAATCAGAAGGAAGAAGACACAGTGAGACTTTTGTGGGGGTTTCTAGGAGGGACGCAGATACTCCTTCTACTGGGTTTGGATGTACAAGAAGATTAGGCTGGAAATATAGTCATTTTGCCCTTACGGGAGGAGAGCCTACCTGAGAATACAGCCAAGATACAAGATATGACGCCGAGAGAAAGGGAAAAAAAAAAAAAAATCGGAGACTTGATAAATTCCGACTCCTAAATCCCACCGTGCCTGAAGATTTATCTTTCTATTACGTAAGCCTACACACCCTCCTTCCGGTTTAGCCTGGAAGGTAAAGGGTAGCTTCTATTGACAGGAGTAAGGTTCACTCAGATATGCATGCAAAACCACCCCAAGTGGAATAAAAGATTCAGAGTAATTAAAACCAAAGAGCTTCTTGTTCCTCTCACTTGGTTTACGCCCTTCTTGTTTCAGTCTTGGAGGGGAAAAGTTCAAAACAGGGCCCCCATGTTCCTGTTCCCCAGCCTGGACAGACAGCATCAGGCCTCTGGGATGATATCTTAGCTCCTTCTTGTCCGTCTTACCCATTCCTTTTTGTTCAATACCCAAGCAAAGCTACACCTTTTATTGCAGTCTTCGAATATCAAGCGAATGAGATCCTTTAGATCTCTGCCAAGTTTTGAAGGATGACATCACCATTGCTGCACTTAGCCCTCTGTCCGCGTCAAAAGCCGCGAGTATCTTCCCCATATCAGCTCTTCCTCCAGACTCACCATTTGGAGGCCTTCTCCAAATCTTTCCCTCTTCCCATACTGAACTGTTAGTTTTTATACACCTGCTGTCTTTCACCTCTTCTGATCCCGCTGGACCCCCTGGGTGCCCCTCCCTATGCATATTTCCAACTCTCTCTCCACACACTAGACTGGAATCTCCCCGAGGGCCCTAATCCCCCACGTCCACGGTCAAGCCCAGCCAGGCGCTCGGTCGCTATCTGCTGCTCCATGGCTATTTGCCGAATGAGTGGAATGCTCCTCACCCACCTGACAGGAAGCCAGCCCAGGCCTTGCTCTCCCCAGAATAAATGTGGCCTCAGTGTATGAATCCAGGCACAAGTGAGCTCAAGCCCCTTAGGGAGTGTGGTGATGGGAAGAAGACCTCACCATGTCCCCCATGTGGGGCTGGAACTCAAACTTCATAGGTGGGCAGAAGACATTGTTGTACATCTCCATGAGGCGCTGCTTGTCACTGGTGGCATCCAGGTTCTCTACGGCATTCTCGATGGCATCCAGACCCTCGTGCTTTGACTGCTCCAGATTCAGCTCAGCGGAGAGGAAGGTGCGTAGCGCCCGGTTCAGGCTGGCATGGTAGCCTAAGTCACAACACTGCTGTGGGACGGAGAAGGCACATGAGCAAACCATAGACAGTCCCAAGGCTTGGCAGGAAGAGAGGTGGCCCCCAGGGCATCTCTGACCATATCAGAGGGACCGGCTGTGCAGCTGGAAGGCTGACATCCTGACTTCCAGGATCCAGGTGAGATTTCTGGTTTCTACTCCCAATTCAATGAAAGACACACCTCAGGGGACTACAGGCTGACTGGGAAAGAGAGCATTCAATAGGACAGAAGGAAATTATTTCATCACACGCTGCACAGGGCTATCCAGTAAACATGGGAAGAGCTGAGGGTTGAAGGGAATCCTCTTCCACCTTAGGGTTTCTCTGGGGATACCATTATAACAAAATTCAACAATGAAAATACAGCCTGCCACTCCCCGAGGGTCACTGTGGTCAAGTCACGACATATGAACCAAACCAAGCCACCTCAGCATTTAAGGTTCACAAGTGTCCCAAGAGCAGTTCACTTACACCAACACTGAACCCCAGTGAGAGGAGAGGAGAATGGGGAGCAGACCCTGTCATCTGTCATCACCCCCACCTGCTCCCACCGTTCTAGGACAGGCCTTAGCAGCAGACTCGGATTTAGCATTTAAAAGACAGAAGACTTAAGTATCAGTCTTAACTGGGAAAATTCAGATCATGTAAAGGATTCTGATTTTCTAAAGCAAAATGAAAAAAAAAAAAGGTATGAGAAAGGCAATAGTATTAAAAAAAAAAAAGGGCACTGACAGGAAGTCATGTAACCTTGGGAAAGCCAGTCCCCAACCCTGAACCTGTACCCTCAGCTGCAAAATGAACAGATTTGGCCAGGCCAGTGGTTTTCAGGCTGCAGATGAGAGCTCTGAGGTTTTTGGTTTTTTGTTTTTGTTTTTTTAAAGATTGCATTTTTTTTTCAAGATTTTATTTATTCATTTGACAGATAGAGACCATAAGTAGGCAGAGAAGCAGGCAGAGAGAGAGGAGGAAGCAGGCTCCCCACTGAGCAGAGAGCCCGACAGAGGGCTCGATCCCAAGAACCCGGGATCATGACCGGAGCCAAACGCAGAGGCCTTAACCCACTGAGCCACCCAGGTGCCCCGAGAGCTCTGAGGTTCTATGCCAGTGCTTAGGCTGCCCTTGAGAAGGGGGTAAAAGGGAAGCAACCAGTAGGACTTGGAGCCTCCTATCTCTGGTTCAACCAAACCAGCTCTGCTTTTTTATCTACATAATAGATTGGGATCCTTTTTAATTTCAGACTTTATTTACTTATTTTTGAGAGAGAAAGAAAGAAAGAGAGTATGAGTTGGGGCAGGGGTAGTGGGAGAAGCAGGCTCCTCACTGTGCAGAGAGCCCGATGCGGGACTCAATCTCAGGACTCCAGGATCATGACCTGAGCCAAAGGCAGATGCTTAACTGACTGAGCCACCCAGGCGCCCAGTAGATTGGGGCTCTCTGTAAGGTCTGATTTGAAGAAAGAAATCTGTTTGAGAAAAAGTCTGAAAATACTTGTAGTAATTATAATCTCTACGGCCCTTCCTCAGCAGTGGCATCTGGTAACTCTATGACCATATTCCCCAACCCTCCCAAAGGACCCCGAGATCCAAATTCCTTGGCCACCCATTATCCCCTCTATTGCCCAAGCAGCTCTGGGATCCAGAACCTGAGAAGAAACGTCAGAGAAGAATCCATGGGTAGAGTCAGACCATCTGCCGGACTCCTATTTCATTCCACAGGCAGGCATCACATTCACTTCCCCCTGCCTCTCCCCTCATCATGTTCACATCGGGAGCAGCCACGATTGGGGAAGAAAAAGCATGTGGCGTGCCTCCTCCTCCGAGCATCTGACAAGAAGCTCAGTGACAGAGCGCCTGTCGGGCTGGGCTCTGGGTCGCTGCCAACAGGCGCTGGCAGGTGCCTGGCGGCCGTGGAAGAACAGCAGTTACAGCTTAACTAGAGGCGGAGGATGGAAAGACATGAAATCCAGTTGGGAGGGCAGAGCAAATGGAAGCGAGACAAAAGCAGCTGATTGGGAGACTTCGTGTGCAGGAGCCCTTCCTCCTCTGAAAGGCACTGCTGGGCTAGCCAGGCTGCCCTTGAACTTGGAAACCTTCCTGACGAGCCTGCGCAGACGCTGATGATGAGCTGGGTGCCCGCGAGTCTGTGAACAGAAGTAAGGCAGCACGCAGGGCTGAGCGAGTGGGGAGCTCTTTAGTGCAGGAGAGAATGGGGGGGCGGGGTGCCCTTCCTCACCTCTGTATTTCTGGTGACTCCATTCTCTGCACCTCTGCCCCGATTCACACCTGTATCCCACACCAGTGCTTTCTGCCTCACTGTCTTCAAAGATGGCTTTTGTTAGGCCACTCCCCTGCTGAAGAGCCTACAGAAGCTTTTAGCGTTCAAACCTTGCTCAGTTTGGGAATTTAAAAATACCTCTTTTTTTTACTCGGTATGCTTACCATCTGCCTGACGCGTGCTAAGTGCTTTATGTACGTTCTACGTCTGAATCCTCATACTAATCCCAGCGAGGCTGGTATTATCTTCATTTCCCAGACCAGAACGGTGAGGCGAGGTCACCAGCCAGAACTAATTCTCAACTGTCTTGCAGTCTGACCATCGATATCATCTCCCTCCGTTCCCTTCCTCAGCCTCTAACCAAGGACATGCTCCTGCTTAGGGCAGAGTATGGGAGAGGAGCAGGCCTCCAGTCAGCTGCACGACCCGGAGCAAGCAACTTAACCTCTCTCAGCCTCACCTGAGGACGACACCGGCCTCACCCATTGTCGCGAGGCTGGTAACAGGCAATGTCCTGACGCACATCTGGCATCATGCAGACACTTCCACATCAGTCCCCAAGATCCCCAAATCCACTGACCGATGCCCTTTACCCAGCATCCTCCCTTCTTGACGTATTTCCCGCTCTTCTCTCTTGTTGGAAATGGACTCCATCTTCAAAATCCAAATCAAATCCCCAGCCTCTGGAAAGCCAGCCAGCCCTGCAACCCTGGCATCCACTGAACTTGGCCTCTACTCAGGACCACACCACATCAGCCCTCACGTGACACAGGACACACTCCCTCACTCTGAGACTTACCATTTTCTAGCACCCCCACCAGAAGACAAGCCTCAAAGAGGGCCTGGCCAGCGTCATTGCTTCATGGTAGCCTCCCCCACCCCACGAAGCCTTGCTCGTAGTAGGCATTTCATACACATCAGTGGATGGACGAGTGGCCACCGAAGCCCCTTGTATGGCTCACCCTGTGCGGCCTATGGAAGGCAGGGAGCTTTCTCGGGCTGCCTGCTGCCCCCTTGATCTAGCTCTTCTGTAGCTTCTCTATGCCACTGAGTGGGGACCTGACTCACAGTGTGCCCTCTGGCTCCTCTGTGCCTCCAGCCAACCAGGGAGACCCAGGATAGGTTTTACAGAGCCTTGGCTAGCCACAGATTTCCACAAGCATGACAGCCGGACACTGAGGCCTTAGCAAAAAAGCAATTTCTGGCAAGGTTAGGTAAACGAGATTTGAATATTTCATCTCTGTTCCCAGGAGAATCCCAGTGAGTGGAGGCTGCACATTATTTTTCCTCACAATGGGGACAAGGTACGTTTTCAGTGGCTTCTGATGAGTTCCGTGGCCATGCCGAGCTCCCCTGGCCGTTTCTGGGTTATATAAATGTTTGATGAAAACTCTCTCGGGGGAAATCAAATTTTTATAAGAATTTAATGATAGCCCATCCAGATGTTTGAGGACTTGAGTTGACAGCTCATTAACCCTTTACTAGCTCACGTCTTCACCCAGAGACTCTGGAGAAGGCCTAGAAAAGAAACATGGGTGTTTCATAAGATCCACTTCGAGTACACACAGAAGGGAAAAATAAATGCCCTTTGTAAGTTTCCTATGAAGCTGCATTTCTTCATGGCCAGCTTGGGTGCTCATGGTGTCACAGATTCTCTCTCAAGGCGCGGAGCCCTCACAAGCCCCCAGCTATGCGTGAGGACAATGCCCTGTTCTTCATTCATCCGTCTGCTCCTGGGTTGGGAAAGCCACAGGAGTACGGGGGAGGAAAGCCACATTCCAACGAGCCTACAGCTCTCAGACTCCATTAAGTCAGCTCAGAGTGTCTTTCTGGCCTGAAGTCAAGGCTTCCTGGTACGTGTCAGATGCCTCATGCGGATTTCTACAGTCCAAGTTTCAATCTTGTTATATTATAAAACGAAGTCAAAGGCTAGTCCTCGTGTCAGTGTACCGGCACCGACAAAAATAACTTTTCACTTATCCTCAATGCCTTCACACACACCGCCCTTCTACACCACGAGGAGGGAGGCAGCATGGTGCCCATAACACAGAGGGCGACAGATGGGCACAAGATTCCTCCCCAGTCCTAAAGCAAGTTCTGGATCCTGTAACGATCAGAATGCCAAGGTACCCAGCCTCCCACTCACTCCTGCCCCCATTGCTGGTATGTGGCCAAGGTGTCCTTTGGCCATTTTTATTGCCTTGATCATTCCGGAAACCACTGATAAGGGCACTAGCAGGGGTGCCGACCAGAAACATCAGGCTGCACAAAAAAGGCCAGGTTTGAAGAGCACGTGCTACAAAACCCCATCTTTGTGACGTCCTACAACAGGCGAAACTATGGTGAAAGAAATCAGAACAGTGGTTGCTTTGGGTAGGGGAGGACTGACTGGGAAGAGAAAAGAACTTTCTGAGGCAATGGAAACATTCTCAGTCTTGACAGAGATGTAGGTTACAAGCATGTCTGAATTTATCCTAACTCTTGAAACTGTAACACTTACTCTCGGGCAGTGTATATAAATTATATCTCTAGGCAGTATTAAAAGACACGAAAAGGAAAAAAAAAGTCTTGCCTTAGGAAATCACCTTCTTCCTACTCCTTTTACTTTCTTCCTTCAGTGAGTATACTATGTGGTCAGCTGTGTATTAAGCACTGTGCGTATGTTTAAAAAAAAAGAGAAGGGGTGCCTGGGTGGCTCAGTGGGTTAAGCCTCTGCCTTCGGCTCAGGTCATGATCTCAAGGTCCTGGGATCAAGCCCCGTATAGGGCCCTCTGCTCAGCAGGGAGCCTGCTTCCCGCCTCTCTGCCTGCTTCTCTGCCTACTTGTGATCTCAATCTCTCTCTCTCTCTCTCTCTCTCTCTGTCAAATAAATAAATAAATAAAATCTTAAATAAATAAATAAATAAAGAGAAACCTTAGTATATAAAGTTTTTTTTTTAAATATATATTTGAATAATCTCTATGCCCAACATGAGGCTTGAACTCACAACCTCAAGATCAAGAGTCGTGTGCTCTCCCAACTGAGCCAGCCAGGTGCCCCAGTTTCTATAATAAGGTAAAGGAGAAGACTTGGTTCCTGCCTTCATGGAGCATAGACACTAAGAAACATTCCTCTGTTCCTAGTGCAGTCACTCAAACTTTTTTTTTACTTCCAGCTCCCAGTAAGAAGTACATCTTGTCACACACCACCCCCCACAACACATGCACCTGACAGTTTCACAAAATAAAACTTAATCTAAGTATGATATACCTTAGATATTCTAATTTCCTTCCCATTCTATTCTAGTCTATTCTGTTCTAGTTTATTCATTTAAAAAAAACAACAACAAGTCAAATGCATAAAAATGATTTCATGACTCCCCCAATGGAACATGACCTATGGTTTGAAGAACACAGTCCTAGGGCCCCCCGGGCTTCCCTCAGCATTGCAGTTAGCCAGTTGCATAGAAATTATCTTTTCGTAGGTCTATGAACACCTCTAGGGCAAGAATGATTTTATACATTTTGTACCCTTGGTGCTAAGCACATAGCCTCATTCCAAATAAATATTTACTTAGCCACATAATGTTATCAGCTTTAAAAAAGAAAAAGAGTAATCAATCTGTCCTCACTTCAGGAAAAATGAAAACAAAACAAACAACAAACACATCAAGAGTGACTCGACTGTCTGAGTGGCCTGGAACGCTACTAACATGGACCCGCCCACAGTAACCTACACCCACACCTGAGCTGAGCGCTAAGGAGGCCGAGAGGATGTTTTTTCATGAAACTTTGTACCATATCCCATGAAGATGGGCTCTAACATATTCTTTTTAACTGAGAACAAGGTGCAAAATACCTTGCTTCTTGGACTGATTTTAAAACACCCACACACATCTGATGGAGGGTCTACAGACTGCAAAGGTGATGACTGATAGAGCTGTAGCCCCTGTCTCCCTCTGAGGTCGGTATTCTGGTGAAAGGGGCAGGAAAGTTGTTGTTCTAGGGGCAAAGAGGTGTGATGGACTGCATGGCCTGATTTTTTTTTTTTTTAAGATTTTATTTGACAGACAGAGATCACAAGTAGGCAGAGAGACAGGCAGAGAGAGAGGGAAGCAGGTTCCCTGCTGAGCAGAGAGCCCGACGCAGGGCTCGATCCCAGGACCCTGAGATCATGACCTGAGCCGAAAGCAGAGGCTTTAACCCACTGAGCCACCCAGGCGCCCCTGATTCTTTTTTTTTTTTAACCAAATGTGAGATATATAGCAGAAATGAAGCATAAGAAAGAACTGATTCTCTTTCTTGTGTTGAGAACAGGCATCGCTCCAGACAGTGAAGAGCCATTCCGCTCCTGAGGAGAAAGGATCCTGTTTAGCTCTCTGACCTCCACCGAAGGACGGTGCTGAGACTGGCGTCAACAAGCAAAGAGGAGAAAGTGGTGCCTGGAACAGGCCTAAGGGCTCCCCTTACCCGGTGGGACCACGAGACCCAGGACATGAAGAGGCAGAAGTCTACCAAATCAAAAGTCCCTGGCTGGAGGAACTAGTTTGGAAAAGTTCCCCAAGCATGTGAAGCCAGATTTCAGCACCAAGATCAAGTCCAGTTCCTCTGTTTGCCGGAGAGAGAGGTGGGGGGGAGGGCAGCACAGCAGAGTTCCAAAACAGGTCAGTACCCAGCCCCAGAGGACCTGAATCTTACACCAGACCCCAAATGCTGTTGCGAATTGTGGCAGGCTCACTCACTGAGAAACCAAGTCAGGCAAGTGTGCCAGGTCTGGCCAGAAGTTTTTAAAGCCCCGTGGCTACCTGCAGACAGCTAGAGGCAAATATCTGGCTTCAGAGAGGGGACCAGCCCGGGTACATCTGAGTCAGCTGGCTCCTGGCCCCCCACTTTGAAGACGAGAGGGAAAGGTGTATTCCTGCAGCTATAGTCAGGGCTGGCTCAGGAACTGGGCCAGGTGGGCATCTGCAAGACTCAATGTAAAGTTTGAAGAAAAGCCGCAGGAGAAGCAAGGCCGAGGTTGACCCATAAGGCAAAAGACAAAAAGCATATCCCTTGTGCCTAATGCGTGCAAAACACATGTGCCTATTTACCAGCTTCTCTCATCATCTTTGCGTCACAAATTAGAATGCACGGGCCATAGGTCAAGGGCATTTAGCTACCTTATTGACCAGGACCCTCAACTGCAGTGTAACTGTGGGCAGGTAACCTTCTTGAGCCCTAGATTCCTAATCTTCAAACTGGAGACAGTAACACTGATCCAGAGGGTGATAGGATAGTCAAATGAAGTAATACTAAGAGACATCAAGTACTATCTAAATGTAAGGCATGGCCTTCTAACTCTGTAACTCTTGCCATTCACATCTGTGTGCAAGTAGCTGACCTAAGGGAACGGTTCCTGAGAGACAGAAGTGCACTGCAGCTACGAGCGTGAGTTCGTTATCAGACGTAGGGACAAATCTTGCCTCTGTCACTTATTAGCTGACTCTGGGTAAACTCATCTAAACTCTGAATTTTAAACTGTAAAAACGAAGAAAAGAGTGCCCTCTTCCCAGGATTGTAGTAAGAACCGAATAAGATAAAGTAAAAAGGGCTTCACCTCTTGCCTGGTACATGGCAAGCCCCTAATGGACCACAGCTACTGTCTTCATATTTCTTCTCAAAATGCTCCAAGAGGCCGAGCAACAGAACTGGGCAACACCTGACCAGTTCTCCAAACCCAGGAAAAAGGTGCCCTTGAGCCCCCAGCTTGAAGCACTTACATCAATAAGGTCAGACAGGTCGTGGATGTAGTATTTGAAGACAGATGCATTGGTTGCTTCCAGAGCCAGTAAGTACTCATTCCGGGCTTTAATGGCCTTCAACTTATTCTCTGTGTACTTGGCTTGGCGCTGAAAACAGAACAAAAGTTCAATTCTACTTTTTTTAAAAGGGGAGATTGTGCTCTAAAAGATGAAAGTACAGTACATTCGAGAACCACAATTGTGCAGCTACTCCCTGTGCGCGTCTGCCTTAAATTGGGTTCTAATTCTGTTTAATGAGATTCAAGGGCATAATGTAGATCAATCCAGGAAAGGTTAATGAGGCTCCCTACTTTAGATGCATGTCCCACTTTGGTTCTATCGGCAAACACTGTTCTCCATCCTTGTACCACCACCCGGAAGAAGGGGTCCCTACATCTGCCCCTGAGTACGGGACATCTGAAGCCCAGCCCTAGGTCTGTGGTCCCTCTCCCAGGCTTGGGAGAGGTTTCTTCTGATCCTTATGAATCTGCTACAGGCAAAAACTTGGAGCCCCCACACCCAAGTTCTTCTGGTACCTACAATGTCTTCCAGGGCAGATAGCAAGGACTCACTTTTGGCCATTAGGCACTAAAGGAATGAGTTTCTTTGTTCCACTCTTCATAGCACCTACTGGAAAACTCTCAGTCCTGACTTCCACAGTGTTCCTCCCCAGCCCCTACAGTTGCGGATGCATACATACCTTCTCCTTCATCTTCTCAATCTTCTTCACCGAGCTCCTCCGGACGTGCTTCTCTTCAATGCGGACATTGGACGAGGAGTCAGGGGAGCGTGGGGTCTGCCGGTCTTCCTGCTTTACCGATTTTCCAAATTGCTTCTCCTCCTGCTTCTCTGCCTCCTTTAGCTTGCTCTGAGCACTGATGCTGTCGGCATTGTACATGTGATAGGTCTTCATGACCTGCAAGACACCCCCGCCCCCGCCCCCAGAGGTCAAGCCAATAGGATCAATTCTCCACTTTACAGACTACCAGAGTCAGCCGGACCCGTGCCACAGGAAGCAACATCATCACCCCCTTAAGGGAAAGGTTCTTAAGTGTTCCGCTCAGCCAACACTGCATATTAAAGACCACCCCAAAGCACAGGAAAGCAGCATTTGAACGGAGCCAATGTCTTATTATTAAAAGGACTTTACATCTTCCATCATGTGTTATTTACTTCTATTTATCAACACCTGTAATCATGACTCTTTTATATCAGCTAAGTAATTTCTATCACTTAGCCAGCTCACAAGGTCAAGTACACAGGATATGTACGTCACCACCCCTCGGATCCCAAGAGCAAAGCCCTTCCGGGACAGGTCAGGAACCCTGAGAGGGCCAGCACAGACAGCGACGGAGTCTCCAGTGTCCAGCACAGACACAGACAGAGCAGTCAATACTTTCGGGACCTTTCAGATACAAAACGGGGAAGAAGAAAGGCTCCAAAAGCTCCTTCTACTGGCCTCGCATTCTAAGGATCCGTCTGGCCCACTTCATGTGGGTCAAGCACCCTCTCTCATGGGAGCTAATTAGAACAGCAGAGGCAAGAACAATGGTAGCTCTTGTTTCTTGAGCATGTAGTATATGCTTGGCTTTGTGCCAAGTGCTACACACACATTTTCTCATCTCATCCTTACGGTGACCCCGGGATCTAGAAAACAATCCTATGAAGACTGTTAACCCACACACCAATTCAGGTGAGAGCCCAAGAAGGAATAAAACCCACATCGGGTAAAGCTAGAGTTGCCATAGGAAGGAAGTAGTATTAAAGGAGAAAAGACCAATTTTCACATTTCCCACCGAAGCCACTGTCTGGGGGTCCAATCTCTTTTCTTACAGAGGAGGCAGGGAAGGCTAGAACTCGTGTGTGCTTCCTCCCAAAGGTACGTCCAGCCACAAGGTGCCCGCTCGTCCCTGCTGGAGCTCTCTGTTTCTAAACAGGTAGCCTCTGGCTTCTATCTGGGAATTAAAAATGCTGACTACAACCAAGAGAGCTCAAGTTCGAGAGTGCTGACATTTTGATGCCGCGTGATCTCTTTGACAGGGAGAAAGAGTATGGGAGCCAGGTGCATGTGTGAGGGCATAGGGTGCAGACCAAACAAGGGGGAGTAAGGGCGTAATACTGACAATGATATCCACCACTTACCTAGTATGTGCTGTGTGTCAGAGGCTTTATGTGAGTTGTCTCACTGAACCCTCACAACTCTTCCATAAAAGACATGTGATTATCTCCACTTTTAACGATGGGGAAACTGAGGCACAAAGAGATTAAACTATCCCACCCAATGTCACACCACTCATACATGGCAGAATCAGGATTCAAACTCAGGTCTGTCAGACCACAAAGTCCACATTCTGAGCCACTAGGCACCAGTGTCTTCCTCTGAACAGGACCAGAGCTGGGTTAGCTGGGAGGAAAGGTTAGGTTTAGTCAAGACTGGTCTGAAAAGAGGAGTTGGTTTTATTAGGGCTTTGTGTTAGAGAAGTGGTCCTAAGTGGGGGGCTAATCTGGAGACATTTTTTTTTTTAAGATTTTATTTATTTATATGACAGACAGAGATCACAAGTAGGCAGAGAGGCAGGCAGAGAGAGAGGAGGAAGCAGGCTCCCCACCGAGCAGAGAGCCCGATGCGGGGCTCGATCCCAGGACCCTGGGATCATGACCTGAGCTGAAGGCAGAGGCTTAACCCACTGAGCCACCCAGGCGCCCCTGGAGACATTTTTTTTTTAAATAAAGATTTCTATTTGTTTAACACACAGAGATCACAAGTAGGCAGAGAAGCAGGCAGAGTGAGAGGCGGCGGAAGCAGGCTCCCCGCTGAGCAGAGAGCCCAATGAGGAGCTCAATCCCAGGACCCTGAGATCATGACCTGAGCCGAAGGCAGAGGCTTTAACCCACTGAGCCACCCAGGCGCCCCCTGGAGACATTTTTGATTGTCACACTTGGGAGCTTGCTACTGGCATCTGCTGGACAGAGTCCAGGGAGGCTGCTAACCACCCAGGGTACGGGACAACCCACCACAAAACTGTCTGCCCAAAACATCCATGGTGCTGAGGTTGAGAAATCCTGGATGGACCTTACGGGTATACTAATCCCTTAGGATCAGCAAGAAGTGGTGGAAAGAATAAAGAATATCGGGACATCGACAAAATCAAAGTTCATTACAGTTTAAATGTCTCATTTTGGATACAGAACTTTTAAAATTTACTCTTCACCTTATTTTCAACCTGACATCATTTTCCATAAGTATAAGATCAACTCTCTACACTCTCTATACTGGTGAAATGATATTTAGTAACTGGTAGCATTAAAAACCTTTCTAAGTAATTCAAACAGTCCCCCAGATTCCAGAGTGACTAGGAGGTGAGGAAGAGGCATGTATTATCCAGGCTGAAGAAGAGTAGACTACTTTTTCTTTCTTTTCACCTAAATATGATTCAAAAGCTTGAATGAATAGTTGTAAAAATGACTTTTAAAAAAGTGATTTTCCATTTTACAATGATACAAGAAACACTATGAATGAATATGAGTCAAAAAAGGACTCAAAGGAATAATGCCAAGAAGACAACAATGAAGTAATAAAACTTAGTGATTTATATTGCTCCTTTCCACTGAAGAACTCTCTGTAAAAGACTAAAACACCACCTAGTCTAGGAAACTACGAGTTCCTAAAGGTAAGCACCACTTCTTCTTTTGTGTTTTCTTCTCTTCTCCACAGTTGGGAAATGTGTCATGTCCACAGTTGACAATTTTACAATCAATGTGGTTGCCTGAATGACTTTGCCTTAATGATACCAAATCTGTCCTCTATGGAAATATGGAAGAAGTATAGCTAGTATCCTTCAACTCAAGGAAAAACTGAGGTACCCAGGGGTCAAAGCTTAAATAAGTGATGCCAAAACAATTGGGAAAAATAGGGAAGTCAAGATAGAACTTGGAGAAATATACATATATACATATATATATGTGTGTGTGTGCATATACATATATATATATATAGAGAGAGAGAGAGAGAGAGGCAAATATAAACTAGGGGGAAAACTCAGAAGTCTAAATTCTCAGTTATACAAAGAGAATTCACTTTACTTCAAAAAATAAAATCTTAATTTATGCCATTAGCCCTGCTCTCTCCCCAAGCCACACTAAAATAACAGAAAAGAGTTTTTATTATTATTTCTTAGATATAAACTGAGGAAAATAAAAAGAATGAAAACAGCACATAAAAAGCAGGGAGGCAAGTAGTGAATGATCCACCAAACCCTAAACCAAATGAAGGCAGAGCCAAGAAGCAAGCAGACTTACATCACTAAAGCCCTAAGAGGAACTGGTGGCAGTGGGATGAAGATGGGAGTTAAAACAAGAGAAATTACTGAAAGCCTAGAATTGCTGGACTACCAGATCCCATCCTCTCCCCATCCAGGGAGGACGAGAGGCACCTTCTCTTATAGAAGGCCTATGCATTGGGAACACCAGGCTCAGCTGAGAATAGGGGTACTGAACTTAAAATAGGAAGATCAACAGAAAATTCTATACTGAACATTGTGATGGCCCTGGCCTCTTACACAACTCAGGCCCCAGACACAGGCAGGAAGTCAAAAGAGCCTTGTCTGGGGAATCTGACTGTCCAAGATAAAAGACCTAGAACTAGTGATTATCAGGGCTTCCCCAAGGAAACACCAGTCAGATCACCCTACAGTAAAGACCACAGATAGCACAGATCTTTCAACTGGCTTTTCAATGCCTCACTTTAGAATAAGAAAAGGCAGCTAAGGAGTACCAAAAATTTAAGGAAAATATCTAATATGAAAGGCTAAGACCAAAACAAGCAATTAAGAGAGAACGGTAAGCATACAGAAAGAAGAAAACTTCAAAAGCAATCAATAATATCCCCAGAGAGGTCAATGAAAAACAAAAAGACATCGTGTCATGAAACAAGAACAGAATACAACCAAAAAGGAACATTTGGGGAACAATAAAAGAGCTCTTGGCAATTAAGATTCAATTCAAATCTCTAAGAAGCTTGACTTCGTGTAAATATCATCACCTCATACTTTACTTGCTGCTTTACTTTTCTGTCTCTTCTCTTAAAACTAAATGCCTTGAGTTCAGGGACATCTCTTATTTGTCTCTGTATCTCTAGTGCCTAGTATTGGAGACAAACAGGCAAGCAGAGCTGGTTGTCTATTCACTGACACTGTCTCCAGGGAGCAAGTGCCAAGTACCAGTCTGCAGCAGCTCGGCCAGCAGACAGCTACTGCACCAAATTAAGCAGCCATATATTTGAGGGGAGTATAGAAGCATGAAACTTCGAGGGCAACCACACCCCAGCATTACAACACCTCTCCTTCCTTTCTCAATTCTAGGGCTTATTTGACTCTTCCTACTTAGCCAATCCATGTGGCTTCTGTGCCCCTACAGACCCTCCTTCCTTTGGGTACTTGCTGGACTTTTTCAGATACAAACTGAGTACAACTGGGGCAGAGAATTCCAGAGTTCTTCAGGAAGCAGTATGCTCCAACCTCAAAGGCATCCCTGGGTCACCAGTTGGAAAATGAAAACCACTTATGACCATAGCCTACCAACTAGCCAGCTCAATATGGGGGGAGACACACATGGAGGAGAATGCTCACTAGGGTTGCTCTCTGAATGGCAGCTGTGGGAAGCAGCCTCTGGCACAGAATGCCAAGTCAGGAAATTCAAAGGTCCTTCAGGCAGAAAAGAGGAAGGTACAGAGGGGCAGCTGGCCACTTACGGTATGAGTCTGGGCCTCCTGCCCAAAGGCATCCTTATTTGGGAACACCGAGACTCTGCCCCTTGGATCATCAAGATTCAAAAGTACTTAAATTATCAACCCTTGGGTAATCAGTCTCCCAAAAAGAAATATTTTGAGCATTAGGGGAGATACAAGCTAAGGAGAGCACTCAACATGGTGGGTTCCTTATATCCTTGGTTTCCTTTATCCCATGGCCCACGAATAACTTCCATTGCCCATGGGGGTCACTGAAGCAAAAGGCCCTCTTGCCTTTCCAAAAAGCAAATAAGGTGAGAGCTCTCTATAAAAAGGTGTCCCTTGTTCTCTTCTTAACTCCTCTGAGAGAGAGAGAAGGAGAACATTCAGCAAGTAGCTTCCCAAAGCCACTATTATATGACTGCCAAGTTCTTCCTTATTGAAATCACTGTCAAATGTAGAGTGACCAACTGTCCTTGCTTACCAAAGGGCTCTCCTAGGTGTAGCACTCAAAGCCTCATGCCCCCAAAACCCTTCAGTTCTAGGCAAATTGGGACAGTCAGAGACCCTAATGCCGTGGTGCCTTCCTGAGGCCAGTCCTACACTCATCTCACCCTACAGAAGAAACAACTCAGTTCTGTCCTCTGAACTTTCTAATGGCCTACAGAATCTGCAAACTCACTTGACCCTTAACTACTGTCAGATATTTTAGGAAGTGTGACTGGAGATACACGAAGTATGTGGAGACCTGAGTCAAATTTGTATTTTGGCCTTGGACAAATTAAACGAGTGTGTATCCAGGGATAAAAGATACAGCACAGGGAACACAGTCAGTGGTGTCATAATAGCATTGTATGGAACAAACGGTAGGCGCTCTCATGAGCACTTGTTGAATTACTGTGTTGTATGCCTGAAACCATCGTAACACTGTGTGTCAACTACACGACAATAAAATGAAATAAAAATAAAAAGAGTGTATACCCATTCACCTCCTGGCAGGGAACTCCATGCCCAGCCGATGCCTCTTCAAACCAGAGCAACAAGTTCCACAGTTTTCTTCTTCATTCCTGCAAGAACTATACCCTTTCACTTATTTCATTTTAAAAATCATAGCGTATTAGGAGATCTCGGACGCGAGGCAGCGCTAACGGATCCCTGGGCACTGTACTTTCATCACTCCCTCTAGTCCCACTGCAGAAGTGGCAACCTGGTTTTGAGCTGGTTTGGGGTTTGCTGGCCATCCATCCTACTCCTCCCCAGAAAGAGCAAACAGCAGAGGCCCATGACGTTTACGAGAAAATAAAAGGATTCATATAATGACTTCATGTGTCATAGTCTATCTTGGTGAATTCTTTGCCAGGAAAAGGGAGTAATAGCTCTTCTTGGTGCCTAGAAGATGCTCTAAAAATAAAATGCAGACATAAAACATTAAAAAGACAACAGGGCTCAGGAAAATGCATCTAGTCTGTAAATGATTCACATCAACAGGCTTCTATTTTTATAAAAAAGCCTTAACTGCACTTGAAAGAAATGAGAACTTGGGAGTCAAACTAAAGAGTCCTGTCTATCTGCTTGGCTTCAGAGCAGAAGAGTCACAGAGCAGGAAGTCCAAACAAGCTGAGCGTCACTGGAGGCCAGTCTGATGACTACTCTACCCTATTTTCTTGCTTAACAGTTGCCATGACGAAAGAGCCACACCTAGGCTTTTGGATCAAGAACATGGAATTCTCTGATCCCAAATGGCTGTGATGCATGTCCCCACTGCCTGTCTTCCTGTGAAGAAAGAAAGGAAGAAAGAGAGAGAGAGAGAAGAAGGAAGGAAGGAAGGAAGGAAGGAAACACAGTGAATAAACAAGTAACACAGGAAATCAATTTCATCTCCACAACAGAATGGCACAAACCTAGACAATGACACAAAGGCTGGGCACAGCCTCGCTGAAGATGGGGGCCCTGAAAGGCCTTTTGAAAACCCAGGGAGTCGATGCCCGGTCTCTCTGCCTGAATCAGCCCCTCCGATGAGGAGCATTTCGGACCCTGGGCCGCCCTCTAGGGCACCCGCTTTCGTGGCAAATGCATAGATGGAGCCAGGAACCGATGCGCAACCCTGAACATAAAGTCCTTCCCGGCAGGCACATACTAATGGCTTGATGCAGGCTGTGTTCCTCGCCATTAGCTTTGGGGTCCCCAGCTTGCTGCTACCGGGGGTCAGTTGTGCCGATGAAGGCCTTGGCCGGTCTCTGGCGGTTATGCCCCGATGAGGCCACGGTTAGTTTGCGCAGCTGAGTAGGGAGCTCATTTTGAGAGTTTTGGGCTTGTTCAGATTTGAAAATAAGAGTGTGAGGAAAAGAAATGTGTGGAGTCACCCCCAGTGGGGACCATGCAGCGTCCTCAAGCTCAGCTCCGCGCTACCGCTGATGGGAACTCAGCCACAGGCTGCCAAATGCTGCTTTCCCCTGCTTGTTAAAGAGCCAGGCACCATCTGACTTACCGAGTAGAGCTCATTCAGGACCTTCATCAGATCATCTTGGAGCTGCTGGCCGACTTCTTTACTCTGCAAGGAAAGAGGAACAGAGGTTAATTGGGAACCAGAAGCGGGGAGGAGGGGGTGATAAGGCAAGAACAGCATTATGGGCTCTACAACTAACACAGACTCAATTAAGGCCCATTATTTAATCCAGCAAATCAGATAAACCACTCCGATCAGACCCAATTATGGTCAGATTACGCAAAGAGTTTTAATAAAATGAAATGCGCCCCTTCTATAGCCTAGTTAAGGCAATCGTGTGGAGGGCAAATGGGTGTAGGCTTTGATTTTTTTCAGTGGGTCCCCGAAGAGCTGGTTTGAAAGCCACATCTGACCTAGCAACTGTTGTTAGGCGGAGTAAGTCTTCTGGGACACTTGAACTTGAGCCTTCTTGAGAACTGTGGAAGCAAGTCAGATGTGAAATAGGACGCCACAGAAAGGAGGACATAAACATCCAAGGGGTCCGAAGCACCTCACCAAATAGGAACGTCAAAGGAGGAAGGAAGTACAGGTCTTACTTGATTTATTTCTGCCCAAACTCCCAGCGCAGTGGTACCCCAGTAATAACTGCTTTGGAGATCAGCTAATGGTACCAGATTCGGATAATACACATGAAGGGGTCTCCAACCTGTCAGTACTAAGCATTAGTGGTTCTCGGGCATCTAACGACACAGATGGAAGAGTAGAAATAAAGAAGGATGAAGAAGCACGAAGGAGAAAAGAGCCATGCCTTCTGCACCGAGTGTTCTATGCCGAACCCGAGAGAGTAGGGGATAAAACTGACTGGCATCGTAGGGTCATTGAGAGGGGAAGCCCACTTATTATCTTCTGCCAGCTCCTTCTAGTTCTTTCCTACCCATCAGATACCAACAATGCCCTTCTAACAGCAGGTAGATACTACCCTTGGTGTGGCTCCACTCCCAGGGGAAGAAAGAAAGAGGTCTTGCATGTCAGAAGCATAATCATTTGCAATCTTGCTTTATTCAAGACATATGACTTTAAAACTATTTTCTCCGATTCTAAAAGGAATATATGTTTATTGTAATTAATAAGAAAACTGGAAGAAAAAAAACAAAACAAAAAAACCAAAACTCAAGAAAACATGCAGAAGGGAAAAGCCACTTTTAATTCCTACCACTAAGAAATCACCACTTGAGACTTTATCTGTTTTTCTAGTTTCTTCCATACGATTTTCATGAAATCGGGGTTGCATTATACACACTGGAACTTACTCAAACAAATGTCTGTGAACAGTTCCCCCCCATATTCTTCTTCTAGAACATTCTGGAAGACAATATTGCCACAGCTCCTATTCTTGGACATCCATTTTGCTTACAAATTTTTATGATAAGACATGCTCTATTAAATTATTTGCTGCATCACCTATGCACACACCTTTCATCATTTTATCCCAGAAGTCACATTGCTGAGTCAAAGACTATTCATTCATGCCATTAAACTGCCCTTGAGAAAAACTGCAATGAAAAACACTACCGGAAGCCTTTTTTCTTGATGATTCAGCAGGTACCTTCTCGTGACCTGCGGTCCTTTGACTGTAGTGAGCTTGAACTTTCTCTTTTTTTACATGTTCTTTCAGCATTCTCGTGTCTCTTGAATGCTTTGCCTTTTTCTGTTAAGGAATTAATTATGGAACACAACATCTGTGTGACCTTTGTTGTGCGGAGACACACTCTTTACACCTGGTGGGGTGGAAGTGGGCGGGAGGAGCCTTGAAGAAGCCACCACATGAGTTTCCTATTCTTGGCTCCTCCACCATCAAGAAGATATCTTTGAACAATGCGATCGATTCTTCTCTCTGGGCCTCTGTTTTCTTTTCCATAAAATGAAAGTATTCCAAGGCCCCTCCTAACCTCTGCCATTCCAGGATCCTTCATGATATTTTGCCTGGCCTCTTGAGTCCGTATTAGATGCACCCTCCACCCACTTCTGCGTACGGCTGGTCGGCTTCACTTCCCAAAGCAGAAGATAATGAGCAGGTTTTCCTCGGGGACCGAGATGATCTACAAAACGCAAGGCTTCAGGGTAGCTTGCCAGTCTTAAATTTACCATTCCCAAATGTCTCTCATTCAGTGCCCTCAACCACTGGAAGAGCCACAAGAGGAAATGCCTTTCATCAAGACTCTCACATACCGGCTTCTCCTTCCCATCATGGGGGGAGAGCTGAGGTCCACCGAAGCGGAGAGATCCAAGGAGGTGAAGTGAGGCAAAATGACTCACCAGCCAGCCCCAGAGTCAGCAACGAGGCCAGGAAGTGACCACGAGTATCACTTCCAAACACCCTACCCTCCCACCTCCAGGTCCCAACTCCCCTGCCAGCCTCCCATCCTCCCTTACCACCTCCTTGTGTTTAGACGGTGGAGGTTCTGGAAGAAGGCTTCCATTCCTCTACCCTGTTGCTTACCCAGGACTTAAATAACTTAGCCACAGGAGGGGCGGGGAAGGGAGGAGGAGAAAAAGCATAACCAATAAAAAAGCAATTAAGCCCAGGCAGATGTTTCCTTTCGTGTACCGATTAGCTGGAAAAGGACCGACTCAACTATTATCCCTGTTTATTTGAACAGGCTGCTGAAGCGGGTTCTGACTTAGGGCTCCCCGTGGCTGAGGGCTGGGCCGGGAACACATGTGAAGCTCTCCTAGCTACAGCGGCCCCACCAAGCCCCCAGCAAACAGGAACAACGCTGCCACCAGGAGAGGCAGGAAATGGCCAGTGCCTCCCTCTCCTCTCACGGATGCTAAAAGGCCACCGTTCTCTGTTTCAGAAACCTTAACTGTGCGCCTCTGGGGGCACGCGTGGCCCTAGCAAGCCAGGAAGGGCTGTCGGAGCTGGGAAGCTACAAGGGGGCCCCACCCAAACACAAAAGGGACATTTAATCCCGGGAACAACAAAACCTGAAGAGGCCGAGTACAGGACAATGAAGTCTGCAGGGCCTTTCCGTTCCCTGCTTTAAAAAAAAAAAAAATGCAATGGGTTTTCTAGGCAGGGAGGCATAAGAATTTACAGAGCAGTCTTTGTACGCTATCACACAGCCTGCATCTCTTTTCTTTAAAATTTCTTGGAAGAGAATGAGTCATCTAAACATTGCAGGAAACCAAATAGAAGTCGAGGGAAAAAATTACTTTGGGCAAAGTTTTTTTTCTCTTAAATGTTTGCATAGTAATCTTTGCCTGGAAAAAAAAAAAAAGATGCCTAAATTTAGAATAGAAATGTGGCACAGTGAACAATGCCGGGTCTCTGGGACAGGCGGGGATCTTTTATTTTGAAGCTCCCCACAACTGTGTGGCCAGAGTGTGTTTGGGGGGATAAGGGGGTAGGGGGGAGGTGGGGAAAGGTGGGGGAGAGTGGGGGGAGGCACTCCACCGGCCGCTGGGGCGGGCCTGCTCGCAGGGAGATTGCTACAGCTCCTGCCAGCTGTGCGTTTACCAAATGGGCAGGGAATCCTCCTCTCCCAACAGAGAGCCGCACTGGACGACAGAAATGAAAACGCACAGCCTTGTTTCCCCCTGACCGTAACCTGCCAAAGCCTCCTCCCGCAGAGGAAGACCAGGGCGGCTGAGATGCAAGAGGCCACGTGGTCTAGGCGGCAGGGTACTGGGCTGCCCCTGTTCTCTGGATGGCTCCATCTCCAGAGCTCAGATGGGTTCATGGGTTCGTCTACTGGCATTTCCCAAAGAACACGGATTACAAAAGGGTTTTAAAACCAGCTATCATCAGGAAGACCACCTTTTAATTTATCCTCTAGTGCTTTTGCTCAGCACTAGTGGGGTGGGTGGGCTGTTGTTTACAGGCATTTGTACTACAAAGCTGTATTATTTGACAGGCACAAAATTACCCCGTCTGTATGAAAGGAAGAAGAGAGGAAGGCGGGCCTTGACCATGTGGTGAGAGCTAATCTCAGCGCCGTCCCAAGGCTTAGCTTGTCAGCAGGTAGAAACAGTGGTTCATTTAGTTCCCTGCCGATGAGCCCATGCCAGCAGTTTTCCAAAAAAGAATCCAATTTTCAAGGGCATGTGTCTCCCTCCACCAGCGCCAGCACCCCCAGCCCCAAAGCACTCCTGAGACCAACTGTTAAAAATCCAGTTGAAAACTGAATTTGCAGGGCACCTGGGTGGCTCAGTTGGTTGGGCGTCTGCCTTCGGCTCAGGTCGTGGTCCTGGGGTCCTGGGACCGAGCCCCACATCGGGCATCCTGCTTGGTGGGAAGTCTGCTTCTCTCTCCCTCTGCCTGCCTCTTCCCCAGCTTGGGTTCACTCTCCCTACTTCTCTCTCTCAAATAAATAAATAAAAATGTAAAAATAATAATAAAATAAAATAAAATTGAATTTACACGTACAGCTTTCTGAGGAAAGGGATGCAAAGCCTCTATGAAGCTCTGGCAGGAGAAGCATCACCAGATGTAGAGTGACAGCTGCAGGGACACTCATTCGGCACTTCAAAGAGGCCCCGTTTCATGAGCTGGCGCTCTGCCTGCAATGCTTTTTGGTGGGGAGGACAGGAGGAAAAGGAATGGGTGTTTGGCGGCAGGGCCGGTGCTCCGGGATGGCAGACTCCGTGTCTGGCCCTTCCCCAGCCCACCTCAGCCCATCAGAAGTCGCGGGGGGTGCGCGGGTGGCGATCCTGGAGGTCAGAGCTCAGACACCACTTCTCGATGTCCCCTCAGCTACACAGCTCACGTATATGCAGAGGGACTGTCGGTGTGCACGAATTAGGGTACCACGTGATAGTTCTAGCAAGGCTGTGTTCCAGCTACGACCTTATACTCTGGGGAGCCCAGGCCAGTGGTAAAATACAAATATACTGAATTGCAAGACTTTTACACAGAGGTGGGCTGGGAGCTGCCGTCAGAGTGACACCTAAAGTGCTTTTACCTTCTAAAGAAAGGGGAGACTGGGATTTCAGAATCACACATTTTTTCGAACTGCAATCCAATCTATTATGGTGTGTCTACAATAAAAGTACTTATTAGGCACACTGCATTCTGCTATTTCCTATTCTTTTCTCTTCTCTTC